TAAAAGTACAAGTACATTTTTTTCAGTACAAGTAAAAGTACAAGTAAATATTTTCAAGTACAAGTAAAATACTTTTACTTGCTGTACTTGTACTCGTCCTAGCTCTGAAATGAAGATCTTTAATTAATTAAAAATTAAAAAGCTGCTGCTTGAAGAAAACGCAAATATATTTGTTACCAGGCGCGAAGATTTTGTTAATGAATAAAAAGGTTTTTTTCTTTTGAATAAATATTTTAGAATTCCTAATAACCAGAATTGATTTTATCTATTTTGATTTTGATTAATATTTATTTGCTGCTTTTAATTAAATTATATTTTAATTGAATGATTCTCTGCTTTTAAATTTTTTTAAAACTCTTAAAACAAAAATAGTCGTGAAATATGATCACTATCCAATTGATTAGAACAAGAAAAATCCATGAAAATATTTTTAGTTTGAAAAAATTAAATGTTTTTTTTCTTTTAATTAAAATCAAGATTCCATTTTGATCATTGTAGCTTTTTATTAAAAATAAGTTAAATAAAATTTTCTCGATTTCAGGCAAAAATAATAAATAATAAATTTGATATTTGATATTTGACTTAATCAAGCCTGTCTGGGACAGGCACAGGCCTTGGTTTTCGAGTCTGTCACGTGGCAGGAAGGCCAGGCCAAAATCTCACACAGGCCAGGCAGGCTGCTTAAAGTAGGCAAGCCCCTGTTTATCATTATTTCCAAATTTTCAATAAAATACTTCATTCTTTGAGCAGAAAATGTAAGTATAAAATTGTAATACGGAGGCTTTTTACTCGGGACGATGAGAAATGATATTTTATCAGTTTGACCCAGCACAATCAGGACTAGTAATAGAATGTTACTGCATTGTTGATTCTGCATTTATGTATGTAGCTCATCTCTCTGTTTTTGTAAGTTATTAGTCGCCACTTTTGGTTGGCTATTATTAAAATTCTGCATAAAGAGTTTACCAAATCTAATGCTCCCGAGCCATAGTTATACTATCGTAATATGGACATACTTAATATGTCCTGTTTAACTAGTGCATCAAATTCATTGCAAAGATCTTTACTTGAAAACAGAGTTTTTTCTAAATGTTAATTTTATCCTTTTTGTATTTACTCAACAGTCACATATTGCATTAAATCAATCGATCTTTTGCTAAATCATGTTATTTTGATATCCTTAACTTCCTTGTCTTTTTATAATGACAGTTTATTACTTTTCACTCAATTATTATTCTCATATTATTGTCTAAAAAACATTACAGGCCTCAACAGGCAGGCCGATTTCACTTGTTGGCAGGGCAGGCAAACGTTTTTTTAAGAGGCGAACTACCACGAGTAACATCGAGTCTATCATACTGATACGTTCAAACGATCTGTGTTTTGTAAGTTATATAAACCGCTGGATAAAACACTGCACACGCCAGGCACAGGCAGGCTGAAGAGGTTGATAGCTTGTCATGGGGCAGGCGAGGCCTAGGAAAAGTAGGCCTGTTTGGACGTCTGTTAAGTAGTATATAACAGAAATTTAATCTGACAGATCGAACAGATAAATTGATAGATAAAAATTATTCTTATATAAAGTAAATGGTATTTTATTATTTAACCTTAAATTTTGATTATTAATACGTTTCTTTTTATTGATTTATCTTCATCATAAGAATTAAAATCTACATAAATATATTAATAATTCCAAATAAATTATATAATTATTAAAAATCTTCATCGTTTTGCAAATATATTTTTATGATTAAATATTCATTGTAAAATATTTATGAGAAATAGAAATTATTAATCCGTAAATATCTTTGATAAGCAAGATTGACTAACGTTTTAAGAAATAAAAAAGAAGTTAAATTCGATTTTTGTTAAAATATAGATTAGTATATCTAAAATGAATATAAATAATTTCTATTTTAATGATTTTATTATAGCACTTGCATTATATAAAAAATAGTAATTTTCAGCGCTTGAGCCTGAAACGAATGTAATATAATCAGAAATAAAAACAAAATTAATCACGCGTAAAAAATGAAAAGTAGGCGATGTCCTTAAGTGAATCATCAATACGTGTACAACTATATTTAAGGTATTTTTATTATATTCATTTTTATTGTCATGAAAAAAAACTAATAATACATTAATAAACATGCACGTATTAATTGCTTATCCATTTAAAATTGAAATTCGTCATCGTCATCAACTAATTTATTTACCAGAATTAGTTCAAGATGAATCAAAACTTCGTTTTGCTATTCGTCAACATCGTCCGCATATTATTATTGTTGGAAATAATTCAGTTGGAATTGAAACACTTGAATTATGGCGTTCATTAATCAGTTATGATATTCAATTGACAATTATTCGAAGAGGTTCATCACTTTCTTGTATTCATGTTCAACGTGCAAAACAATTGAATATAAATGTATTAAACACATTAAGTGTTAATTCTCGTTTTGTGGCAGAATATATGATTGAACATCTCCATTTACCCAAGGATGGAACTTGTTCAACAATTGGAATAATTGGATCAGGTGCTATTGGAAGTCGAATTGCTTATCGTTTATCTACAATTAAACATAAAGTTAATATTTATAGTCCATCATTAGCAAACACTGATGAATCAATTCAGAATAAAATTCGAGAAAGAAAAGGTATTGTTTCATCTGATATAAATATTTCTGTGAGACCAGAAAAAGCCATTGAAAATGCAACACATGTTATACTTGCTATTGATGCTGATAAAATTACAAATGTTAATCAACAATTATCGAAAGAATTTTTTCAATTAATACCAAATGGAGCAAGAATTGTATCTGTTACTGAGTTTCGCATATTTGCTGAAGGAGCGCTCGATCTTCTTATTGAACGTATTCGACAAGGACAAATTACTGCTCGTTTAGATTCATTTGCATTGGATTTAATTAAAATAAAAGATCCTCCCAAAGATTTAGAAATTGTTTCAGCTGCTATGACAGTACTAGGATGTGGTGAAGCTATGGATCAAGCTGCACTTGTTCTTCTATCTAATGTTGTACTTGAACAAACATTGAAATCACCATTAACATTCTTCAATGAATCATCAAGGCAAACCGAAGAAGTTACTATTATTGGAGCAGGTATTATGGGTTTAATAACGGCTTTGTTTCTCAGTGAAAATGGCTATAAAATAAACATTATCGATGAACATAGTCATCCGAATCAAGAAAATGAAATATCCTGTCGTGGTGCAACACTTGATGGATGTGATGCAAGACATGCATCGGTAACAGAAACAATGCCTCCTGCTGTAGTTTTTAGAATTGACAGTTTAAGAAAATATCCATTAGACCATGGTGGATGGAAAATAATACAAGATCAATTTAATGATCAAGAACAAGTTTGGATTGATAGATTTAGTGAACTTGCTAGTTATCCAGAATTAGTTGTCAATCTATTTAATCCATTTGTATCGAATTTAAATAGATGTGGAATTGAATTATGGCAAAATCTATCAGATAAATATCCACAGATAGTTCAAAATACAATTAAAAACCATAAAATTATTCGAATATGTTCATCATCAACCTCATTGGAAGTTGTTTCATTGTTTCAAAGAAAATATCATAAAGATACAGATCATCTTCAGCTATTATCACAACCTGAAGTTCTGGAAAAAATACCTGGTCTTCTACTTCAAGATCGAGATGCTGGAGGTATTCAAGTACCTGGTTTTACTGTTAATCATTTAAAACTTTGTCAAAATATAATTGAATATTTAGAAAAAAAGTCAAATGTTAATTTTAAATGGTCAACTAAAGTTCATTCAATTGATAATATTGATTCATCAACAATAATATTTGCTTCAAGTCTTAATCAATTCGATTCTCCACTATTAAAAAATGTATCATTAGCTATTCAAGGTGTTCTTGGATGTTGGATTAAACTTCCCAATGTTCATTTAATAAAACAAGGATTTAAAATAGTGGAAAAAGAACCTATTGGTGTGATTAATGTTACACCAAGTTATGATGAACAATATTTATATGTGACAGGCGCTTTTGCATTTTGTGGTCACCGTGGAATAGTTCAAACAGTTTATCTTAATCAATTAATTGAATTATTTCATTCAACCATTCGTTCTTATTTACCGGGCGAAATCGATGCAAATGAATCAGAACCTTTTCCGATCAGATTTTGTATTCGTCCAATGACTCCCGATGGAATGCCAATTATTGCTCAATTAACCGAAGAAAATCAAAAACAACAAGTTTATTTCGTTGGTGGAACCAATGCTGGAGGTTTTGTTCAATCACCAGTTTTAGCAGCAATGCTTTTAGATTTAATCCAAGGTTCAACAAATGATTCAAATCTTTGCCATATTTATAGATCTTTACGTCTTGATAGAAACTCGTTGTTATTTGATTTAAATTCATCGAATTGACTTTGTTAAATTTAAAACAAAATTATTTTTTTATTCCTCTGATATTAATCGAAACTCAGTAAATAGTTTCTTCTCCTGATTGACGAATGTTGCTTATTTCTGATAAATAAAAAAGACATACTATCAACATTTTTAACAAACCTGGTTAGCTGAAAATTATTAAAAAACAAATATTAAATAATGAAATACAATTAAATAACTAAATAGCTTAATTAGAGATATTGAAGTATTAGATTTAAAGTTCGGATTGAATGTAAATATTAATACAAATTAAAAAAGATCTCAATCATTGATGGAATATTCCATTTCCTACGAGAGACAACCTATTGATGCAATAATCGACAGTTAGTAGGGCTTCAATGGATATTTATTTTTGCAATGCTAAGTTTTCCTCGCGATCAAATCGAGAGTCATCATCAATTATATTATCTTGTTGGGCATCATGTAAAACCGATGAAGATATCTTGAAGGATTTTCAAATAAACAATAGATAATTTAACTTTAACTTTTGTTTCGTTAAAAATAAAAGCATTAAGAAAAACGTGAGCATCAATAAAAAGATGTTATTTGTTATATTAATCTAATGTAAAGGAGATTCGTTTTATTTTTTTTTAAAGGTTAACCGTATCAGAAAACAAAATATTTTACTTTGTCACTTGAAAACAAAACTGATAAAAGAAAAGCGTGTGATAATGGTAAGAACAAATGAGTTTGGTAGCATAAATAAGATATTTTATATAATTAATGCTTTTGCTCTACAATTGATTTATAAATTTAAAATAGTCTACATCAAATAGAAATAATTCTTAGATAATTCTTATTGCTTTTGATTTTGGTAAAAAAGCTTTATGATTTGGTTGATTTTGTTTGTTTTATTTTATTTGAAATTTATTTTTGTCAAAGAATGAACCAAAAGATTTGGCTGTTTGTACAAAAAATGCATGGAAAAATTATGGTCATAGATGCAAATCAATAACGGTTTTGCACGATATTAATGTTCGTGTTCCAAGAGGAATGATGTATGATATTTAATTTTAAAACTCAAGATAAAATACTGAATAATAATGAAATATAGATATGGTTTATTGGGTCCATCTGGATGTGGGAAAACAACACTATTACGTTGTATAGTTGGTCGTTTAGACTTAAATCGAGGTGAAATTCTTGTATTTGACAAGCCGCCTGGTAGTCGTGGACATGAAATTCCAGGTCGATCCGTTGGTTTTATGCCACAGGAAACAGCACTTTATAAAAATTTTACAATATCAGAAATGCTTCATCATTTCGGTCGTCTTCATAATATGAATCGCAAAGATATTTTAGTGCGAGAAGAATTTCTTATTTCATTCCTTGATTTACCTTCAAAATCAAAAAATGTTTCGCAATTAAGGTTTAATTTATTTATTTGAATTAAGAGCCACACTATTGTTTGTTTCATTTTCATGGTTTTCATATAGTGGCGGTCAACAACGCCGTGTATCATTAGCATGTGCTCTTCTACAACAGCCTCGATTATTAATTCTCGATGAACCAACTGTTGGAGTTGATCCTTTACTTCGAGAAAAGTATAAAATTCTTGATTTATTTTGTGTTGAAATTTTTCATTCAAAGAATTTGGACTCATCTTATAAATATATCAAAAACAAGTAAAACAACCATAATAATAACGACTCATTATATCGAAGAAGCAAGAAAAGCAGATCGTGTAAATTGTTTTTCTCTTTGTTTTCGGTTTATTTTTAATAGAAGCAAACGTCAAATATTCTATTTAGGTTGGACTTATGCGAAATGGAAGAATGTTAGCTGAAGATGAACCATCACTTCTTTTGAATAAATATAATCAAACTGTTTGTTATTTTATTTCTGAAAATAATTCTATTCAATTCAACATATTTTTATTTTATTTTAGAGTTTAGAAAATGTTTTTCTTCAACTATGTTGTCAAGATCAAAATCGCCTTCAAGAACAAATGCCAATCAGTACTAGAGACGGTGATAGAGATACTGATGTACCTGATGATGTTGACGATCAAAATCTATCTTCGACTTCAATTCATGTATCAATTAATAAAACTAATCAAGATTGTCTTCCATTCGATGATCAGAAGAAACAATTTGAAAATAACCGTAGGTTTAATTAGATTGAGAAAAGAAAACAAAAGAAAAGAATAATCTATTAATTCAGCAATGCTCTTTGCTAAACGAATGGCATCAAATTATTTAATATTACCTAAAATCCATAAAATTTATGCATTAATGATAAAAGATGTAACAGTAATTAAAAGAAATATTGGGTAAATATGCGTTTATTTTTAATTTTCTTATCTAATTTTCATTTGTTTATTTTAGTTTTTTAATGTTTCAATTTTTGATTCCTGTTATTCAAGTTGCACTTTTTTGTCTTTGTATTGGTCGTAAGTTAAAGAAATACTGAATTAATTTAAAATACTCGGAAATAAAATATTCTTTTCAGGTAATCCTGAACATATTCCAATGGCAATTTATAATAGTGAAGCAATTAATGGATTTCCAACAGGAAATTTAAGTTTACAACTTTTGAATAAAATAAATCCTGATCAAATTCACTTTGTATGTTTAAACATAAATATTATTTTGATTCAGTTTAAATTTATTTTATTTTTAAAAACTAAAGACATCATTTAATCAGTTTGATAAAGCCATAGATGCTGTAAAACAAGGACATTACTGGGGTGTTGCTGCTATTCAATATAATTTTACACAAGCAATTAAAAATAAGTTGGTCATTTTCTTTTTTAAATTCTTTGTATCGTTCGCTCGTCTTTTTTATTTTGAAGATTATTAGCATTTCAAACAGATCCAACTACGTTAAATCAATCATCACTTCATCTCTATCTTGATATGTCGAGTAAGTCAATAATATAAAACATCGATTTCTTCAATAAAAATACAATTGAAAAACAAAAAGAATGCTTATTTCTTTAACACTAGAAAGTTCAGAATAATGTAATATCCAAGAGGGATTGATCAGACTTAACAGAAAACGACTTGATGAATTCTTGGAAAAAAAATGACAAATAGGTTTTATTTAACTCTGATATTAGCCTTCTGACTGATCTTAATGCTTTTTAGATGCTTTATGTAGACGAACATAGATCAAATTCTTCAATAACACACCTGTCTTTTCTTTTAAGATCAACAACTCTCAATAACAATCCAAAGTGTATTATTAAATAGTACAGAATTATTTCTAAAAGAAGTTTTATCAAGTTATAAAATTGATCCATCAATAGTTGATCCTCCAGTAATAATAGAAAATCCATTATATGGAAATGTTGTTCCAAAATTTTTAAATTTTGCTGCACCAGGAATGATGATATCAATAATATTCTTTTTAGCAATTGGTTTAACAGCATTAATATTTGTTGTTGAAAAAAAAGAAGGCCTTTTAGAACGTAGTTGGATTGCTGGTGTTACAACAATTGAAATAATGCTTGCTCATGTTATTGTGAAATTTTTTATTCAAATTATTCAAATTATATTTCTTATCGTTTTTGCTGATTTTATTTTTAAAGTTTGTATAGAAATTTATATTATTTATCTCCTTATTCTCTGAAAGTTAAGGTTGAAATTAAAGGATCAATATTTTTATCAATAATGTTAATTTTTGTTCAAGGAATATGTGGAATGAGTTATGGTAATAAGAAAATATTTGTTTGTTCTAATCAAATGAACCATTTATTGCTTCCTTGACAAGGTCTTTTAATATCTTCAGTATGTGAACAAGAAATTGAAGTTATGGAAGTGGCAATAGGGAGTATTTTTCCTATATTACTTAGTTCAGGTTGATCCTTCTTTATTTAAATAATTCGTTTATCTTTACTAATCAATAATTCTAAATTGAAGGTGTAATTTGGCCACTTGAAGGCATGCCATCCGCCATGCGTTTTCTTAGTAATTTTACTCCATTGACACATCCTGTTGAAGCAATGCGATGTATTGCTTCGCGAGGTATTTAATGTTTTTCTCTCGAAATTCGAGTAAAGAAATAAATCTATGTTTTTTATAGGTTGGTCATTCGGATATTTTAAAGTATGGTTTGGTTTTGTTAATGCTAGTGCATGGAGTTTAGGATTTTTCATCATTGCTGCTGTTCTTTTTGCTCTTAGAAAGTAACAATATGCTCTGTATGTTTTTTTTTAAATTCAACGATAAATAAAAACAATGAACAAGAGATTCGAACGGGATAAATGCTTCTCTAGAAAAATTCAATTCACGTTGGGATGAACGTATGGGTCATACATTAAGATAGTTTCGAAAAATTCTATGTTGAGATAGGAAAAGCAAAATTTTAATTTTTAACCTGTCTATAGTTCATTTGAGAGAGATGTGCCCTAGGTGCCACCGCACATCAATGTCTACACTTATCCTAGCTAATGACCGTGCACCACAATTGAGAGTGGATGTGGTTAGAAGCAACTTAAAACTAAACCGTCACCCACAGCCTCTGGCAGTAACAAGAGACATGCCTTAGTTTGTCAAACAGTTACTTTGGAATTCTTCTAACGACATGAAGTGCACTTTTAGTAACCTCTATGAAGCTTCTAACAACTCGAGTATGCGTCCGGGATTCTCAGTCATACTTTGCGTGACCTCAGACATTTTGAGAAACCTGTAACACGTTCTTAGCAACTTAAATTTATGCTTTGTATTTTTGGCAGACTTATATGGATGTCTAAATTCGATTTATATAAATTATAATCTGGATAAAATTTATCTTTTGCTTTTCTGTTGTAGCTACAAGACTGCCTGGTTTTTTATTTTCGAAGTGATATTGTGCAGTTGAAGCTATTAGGCGGCATCTCATGTATCTATATCTTAGGAGTATGGCAATAACTTCATTTTCTTTTATTTGTATTAAATGATCCCAATTCGATCGTTCCGATCGCTGCGAACACTGTTGGAACTGACCAAAGAGATGCAGAAAAATCCCTATATCCTGCAGGAAAGCGTGGAAAATTTTCTAATTTTTTTTCTCGATGCTATACTATCCGTTCTTGCCGTACCGCCACGATTTGGGATACAGGGTGCTTTTATGAGCCACCAACTGTTCCCGTGTTGTGCTGACATCTGTTTTCTTTTAAATCAAAATGTTTGGTTGATGTCAATAATGGGCCCGAGCCACATTTTCTTTTCACAGAAAGTAGATGCGAGCATTGCTTGAATAAGTATGTATTTTTATTTATATTGCCTTATTTTTCGATAAAATTTTCTGTTTTTCTATTAATACTTGATCAAAGTTAATTGAATTGAATTTATTTATTTTAAGATCAATAATGGATGATGTTACAATTGAAGATGATTTGGAATTAAGTCAAGATCTATCATCTCAAACAAAAAGTCAACATAATTTTTTGAAATCATTTTCAATAGTTGAAATATGTAAATATCATTTTTATTATTGTTGTTTTATTTTAAATAGTTAATAAAATTTAGTGACTCAACCATGGACAATATTTTTATTGTTATCAATGGTTGTTGTTGTTTTTATCTATGTAAAACGAAATCAACGACGAAATCGGAATTTACTTGGCGCTCGCGATTATATTCGACATGATAATAGTGGCGAAAATCTTTCACGTAGAAATTCTTTTGATTATTTTCTATTGAATTTCTGAAAATGATTATTTGTTTTTCTAGATAATCAATATGATGATATGGAACGTATCCGACAAAAACAACAGAAAGCTTATGAAGAACAAGCCTTGCGTCATTTAGAACAAAAGAAAATAGTTAAGAATTTTTTCTACTTATTGAAATTATTAATTTATTTTTATTCTTTATTAGAAAATGGAAAATATGAAACCAAGAACAGATGAAACTTCTAGTCGATTAAAATATCGATCAAATGATCATAATCCATTAACAGGACAATCAAATCGTGGGTCAGGTGATTCATGTTCATGGCGTCCATCATCATCACGTCGAAAACCTGCTGGAGGATGATCATAAATAAAATATCGTTTTAAACGATATTTATGTTATATAAATTATCTATTCTTTTGTTTAAATGATGTTATCAATGGAAACGCTTATGCGACATTGATTGACTGATTATTAAAGAAAATATACTTCATTTTTATTATTCATTAAATAAATAAATATTTTATTCGCTTTAAATTATTTCATTTGATTTTATCACAATGATTTTTATTTCAAAATTTCTGTTAATTTGAATATCGATATAAGTGAAAAAAGAAATTATTTTATTCTTCTCTCAAATTAACAAATTCAAAAGATGTTTGGACGATTATTGATAATCAAAGTTGACAAATGCGTATTTTACTAGTAGAACTAAATTTTGTTTCCAGTGAAAAAATGACCACATTAAAGTAATCAAGAAACAAACTAAGTAACGATGATAATTAATTTCAGCAAAATTCTCGGATGAAGTAATTTTAATCTGAATTTTGTCGAGTTCATTGTATATTGACATTGAAGCGCTCTCTATAAAGTTTATTCTTAATAAAATAGATGTAGATATTCATGTGTTGAAATTATGATGTTCAGAACTTATGAATATTAACGATAAAACTCATTTTGAGCCATTATAAAAGAAATTAATGGTAATTAGAAATGATTTTATATGGCTCTATTTTTATTACACAGTTTTGATGATTTACAAAATTGCATAGCATCTCTATTTATCGGTTTGATAGAATCAAACGGGTTAGAATCTTTAAATAAAATAACAAAAATGATAATACGTTTCTCAAAAAGAATGTAAAATGTGTCTCTTGAAGTCTATGATCGAAATTTTGTCGTTTTGAATACTTGTTGTAAAACGTAAAAGACATTTTTACGGGACTGTTGCAGAAATAATACTAAAAAAATTAACTTTTCTATTTGAGACACGAAGTTCGAACTATTTCAGTATGAAATTTATTTAACAAACATTCTTCTTTGTCGGCAATAATTATTAGATATTTTATATTCTTCTAACTATTTTCATCAAATTTAATCAAATGCATATACAGAATACTCTTAATGTTATAGACATTTTAGTCACACATAATCTCTTGAAGGTGCCACTATTCAGAGGCTGTTAAAAACTATCTATTGAATATTATAATGATACGAAATATAAATATTCGATTAAACGAAAATTTTACAGCTGAGACCTATTGATACGTGACTGTATCAAGAAAAAAAGCAAGCCAGATTTTAGATAGAAAAAGATCTGAAATTGATATTAGGTTCGTTTCTGATGAAATGAATTTTCATGAGATGAAAACTTGTGCTTCTTAGTTGACTTGAAAGATGCTTGTAAATAAATACGAATATGTAAAAGATTTAGTAGTGGAATTAAATTTCTAGAAAATTTTGATTCAATAAAATAAAACAAATCTGAAAACAAAAACTTCATTTTTTATTGAAATTTTTAAACAAAAACAAATTAAAAAAGAAATTAAATCTGACTATTTTGAGAAAAAAATAAGGATGTGGCCAATTCGAAAGCACCAAAGTAGACAAACCCACCGATTGATATCCACATTGTACGAGGAAGAACTCCACTGTACAAACTTATTTTAAATAAAAAGAATAAATTTTACTCTAATTGAAATAATTTCTTTTGAAAAAACTTACGCTGAAAAACCTTCTTGTTGGAAAATGTTTTTCATAATTTTCAACGAATGAGAAGCTGCATCGGTATGAGAATGCTGCGAAAAGAGATTTGATTTAAGTGAAGAAAAAAAACTTATTTAAAATATTTACATGAGCAAGCATTATTCGTGTTTTAGCAACATCTAAATAAAATAACAAATTATTTCAATATTTTTAAAGAACAGAATAAAATTAAAATTTTACCAAATGGAGTTGTAATTGATGCTGCTATTCCACCAGCAAGAGATCCACACAAAGCTCCTTGCCATGGAGATAAATCTTGGTTCTGTTGTTTTTTCCAAGATTCCTTTTTGTTTTTTCTTCGAAATAAATATTCAGTAAAACAATGAAATCCGAAAACAAACTTTAAAGAATTCCCAGAGTGGAAATTGAATTATTGAAAAAGGTATTTCTCTTGATAAGGTTGCAAAATATCCTCGATAAAGACCGAATAAACCCTTTGAAGAAAAAAAGAAGTTTTTAATGAAAAATAAAAAATCTAATACCAACTTCATCGCGTAGACACGATTGTGCAATTGTTAATAAACGTAAATTTCGATTAACTTGTGCTCGTTGTTTAACAACTTCAACAGGAACACGTATAAGACATGCACACTAAATATTAGTTTTTAAAAGAAATTACTTTTTTATTCGAAAGATTTGTCTATTTTTCATACAATTTCTCCAAGAGTTGCAGCAATCATATGAGTTTGCCATTGTGATGATAAATAAACTGTTTGTTTAGTTAAATTGTATCCAAGAAAAAACAATGCAGACGATGGACCACTACCAATTAATACAGAACCAACACCAGAATATAATGATGAAAATAATAATCGTCTATTAAGGTTGTTTTTTTCTTGAAGACGAGTTTTGATTGTATCTATTGGATACAATGATAAATCAACTGCACATCCAGCTATTGAACCAGCCTAAACTTTTTTTTTATAGAAAGATTTTTGTTATTTTATTTAAAATAAAAAAAACATACTACTAGCGAATGTTTAATTGTTTGAATAAAATCAATTTCTTTCATGTTTATCTGAAATAACTTTATCAATATTTACTGTTTCCGTATCTATTAGTAAAAACAGTCTATTTATATTGATTGAATCATAAATAGATATCGTCTGTAAATGGGAAAACATAGTTCGCCATTAGGTTACTTAGGGTTTCTCATTAGAATAAAAATAAGTTGATTAAAAAATCTTTCTCAAATAACTCTACAAATCGTATGTTCTCTCATAGACTACCCAAAAATGAATATCATCTTTCGATGGCGACGTCTCTTTGAATTAATCTAAACACATATCAATATATAAATATATTTTTCTATTTTATTCGCATAAGCATTACCAATTCTTTTGATTCTTATTTGGTATAGTTAAATAGTAGGTATTTTTTATGTGCTCTGTGAGTCATACTGTGACTTGCCTGTTGCAACGAAAAGTGACATCTTTTACCGTCGCTTAACTATGGACATAAATTGACTAAAGAAAACAAAAGCTAATAACTCGTTTCATCAGGATCAGAAATAGTATCTCTAAAACCAAACACAACTGTACACATTTTGGCTGTACATTTTGAAAAAAAATCCTTTTTTTTGTTCAATCTAAGTCAACCTTCCACCAGAGACGCTGATCAGCAATCTTTTCGATATCATGCTCAGTCTAACGAGCACCCATTGTCACCAGTGTTTTTAATTGAAGAGTGTACCCAGCAAAACAAAATGTACGGTACCCTAATAAAATAGGATTTACACCCTGTTTTACGCCCTGAAAAAAACAGGGTGTATATACTGTAAACGATGATTTTCGTTTTTACACGATGTTTTTTACAAAAATTTTTGTGTTTAAGGCCCCAAACAGACCAAAAAGATAAAACAGAATTAAGCAACGTGATTGGTTAATTCACACTTAAGTCATCTTTTTGAGACGATTTAGTGGTTAATTCTGTTTTATCTTTTTGGTCTGTTTGGAGCCTAAGGCCGAAATCACACTGAAAAAGATAAAACAAAATAAGCGACGTGATTGATCTATTACGATTTAAGTCATCTTTTTTAGATGACTTATTCGTTCATTCTGTTTTAATTCATTTTGAATTAGTCAATGTGGTTGGGGCCTTAATGATTAAAAGAAAGAAAAATTTTCCATTAAACGTAACTTTCATGTCTTCTCCAATAGAAAAATAGGTAGAGGCGCTATAACATCGTCCATGTTCACATAACTGAGTATATCGATCGATAACATGACCGAAGCGTCCTTTCGTGAGATAGAATTTTTAGTAATAGTTTTCTTTATCTTGAAATGAAGAAAATTGCCTGATGATGCTCAAACGTTTATTGACAAATCTTTGTTTGGTTTTTTAATTTTGAAGTTCATGAAAACAAGAACTGAAAATCAAACAAAAATTATGTGATGTATATCAAATACATCACATTCTAATTACCATACAATGTTTTTAATGAATGAGTGTACCCAGCAAAACAAAATGTACGGTACCCTAATGAAATAGAATTTACACACTGTTTTACACGCTGAAAAAAGTGTGTACAGTGTACACGTTGGGTTTTCTGTTTACACGGTGTCTTACGAAAACTTTCGTGCTTTCATAAAAAGAAAACAAATCTATCTATTCAATATGATCAAAATTATATATCTCATCCAACGTTTTTAATAGGAATCTGAAGCAGAATGCATGCATACACTGTGTTTTTCCGAGCATTCTAAACGTGAGAAATTAAATACAAGTGATATTTTAACAATTTTCTTTTTATGACTGAAAATCAACTTTTTAGCTTGTGTACACTTTGTACACGTTGATCTTCGAAGCAGGAGTGTACGGATACATCATGCTCGGGAAAACGTAGTGATACATACATTCTGTTTCAGATTCCTAGTAAAAACGTTGTTACCATATGTATGATAAATCCCTTGATTTTCTACTCGATTATTCGTTCTAGATATAAAAAATTTCAATAAAATATTTGTGCTTGTATTGTTCAATTAAAGAGAAAGATGCGTTATATCAAAGTATATAAAAATGAAAATACTGATGATTATGTAGAAGTACCACTACACCATCAGTTTTATTTCTATCATTACATACCATACGTTTTAATGAGCGATCTCATAAATGTAAATACAAACGCAATGGGATTATTTCTTTTAACTGAACAAAGGAGAAAATTCACGTAAGTTGTGGTATGGATTTTTTATCTAGTGGAATTTTACAATAAATCAGCTTCATTAACTTATTTATTTGTATTTTATTTAGACACTCGAGATATAATGAAAGAATATACTTGAATCAATATGATAATATACCAATAGAAGACGGCTATTACATTTTGAATTGTTCATCAGGTATTATTTGTTTTCTGATTGTCATGAAGCATAGTTTACGAAAAAAGCAAAATCATCATTTGAATATTTTTTCACTATCACAGATAATTTAGTTGGAAAAAACAGCAGTCATTTTCTCAATATTGTTCCAAAGCACGAAATGACTTCTGTTGAATGGTATCTAATACCCCATTTGGTCGTTTGCGTGTACACTTTTTTCTCGAAAATACTTTATTTATCTTATTGCTTTTATATATTAAATATTTAAAGCCTGTATTTCATTCTCCTAGATAGGTCGGAAAGAGGAGAGTTCAAAGTGGACCAGATCGGATGTAATCGCATTGATATCAACAGTATTCGGAATCCTGTCATTTCTTTGGGCGGTGATAGCAACGTTTGCTCCAGCGATATTGGTGAAGAAAAATATTTAGGCCATGCACGCAAGCGAACGATTGCAAAAAATTAAAAATAAATTTTTATTACACATGAACATGAAATAGTAAAACAAAAAGTTCAACAAATATATATTCATAATAAAGTTAGATATATCTATTAGTTTTTTCTTTCGTTTCATTTTTTTATTGTTTTATTTCATTCGACTGGTGACATAAATACCTTTAAAGTAATAGCATCTGATAAGCCAATGTAATGGCATTGTAAAAGAAAGGTACTCCATTTGGAGATATATCTTTCCATAAGCTTTTGATTTAAAGCCGCAGAAAAACTAATCAGTTGTGGTTGTAGATGTAGACATCCACGCCAGAAACAACGTTAATGCATGTTTTAAAATCTTTGGATTTTTATTCTCGAAAAATCTCCATCAACTTGAAGATTTTTGAGTAGATATCTGCCTCAAGTTCGAATATGAATGAAAAGTAGAGAGGTATTCACGTTTCCACAAGCACAAAGCAAAAGCTAACACTGTTATTGGAATTGTATGTAGAATTTCAAGATTGATAAAGATCCGTTTAAAAATTCAAAGTGAAATCTTCGTAGGGCAATACACGTGTTAATATTTATAAGTTATCTATTTTATTTTTCGTCAAGTAGTTTCATATATGAATAAATAATAATCTAATTTCATACTCTTTAAATCTTATGTAAAGTTTTTTTTTTTTTGAAAAGAAATATCTACAATTCAATTTATTTTTTAAATTTAAATTCAAACAAAATTCAATGTTGAATCATTTAAATTCAATGCATTGAATAATGAATTTGATGTGTAACTAAAAGATGCTTTTTCTTTCTTCTAATGTGTCATAGACTTGAAATGGTATATAACGTATGTATATAAGATAATGCTTTGATTTGTTATTTGCAATAAACGTATGTTTGTTCATGTAGGTGAAGAATCGTTAATCAATAAAGAATAATTCAAATGATCAATGATCGATGATTATCATTCAACAAATCGAAGAGACGAATAAGACAAGAAAAAAAGATCGGTTGAAATAAAACTTTCTAATGATTACGTTCATATATTTAACTCTTTTCATTTTAATGACAACAGCTGAACAAAATATTTCATCACGATTATTACGATCTTGTTCATCAGATTTTTCTTGTATTCATGGAATTTGCTATACAGATCAAAATACATCTTCGTGCTTATGTGAACGTGGTTGGACTAGTTTACGAAATCAGCTCGATGTTTGTACTTATCAACAGAAATCAAAATTAGCTGCTTTTCTTCTTTCATTTTTTCTTGGTGCTTTTGGTGCTGATTGGTTTTATTTGAGTGTAGGGAACGGAGGTTATATTGCAGCAGGTGTTTTCAAAATGTTAACGTTAGGTGGAATTGGAATTTGGTGGTTTGTCGATTGGATTAGAATTTTAACAAATTCATTTGTTGATGGGCAAGGAATTGCTTTACTGGAATGGACTCCTTGAATATTAACGTGAAAAAAAAGATAACACTTTTTTCCTTTCTTTTTTTTTCTTTTTGTATTATATTCTATAGCAAATGTTTCTATTTGACCCAAGGTTATTATTTGTCTTAGAAACAATTGATTGATTTGAACAGTTGTTTTATAATAAATAGAATATGTTTAAAAGTCAAATAAACGAATCGAAGTTGAACAAATTTCTCAGTAGAAACAGAACGATGAATATAATGATGTTCATCATCATGATCAGCATATCTATTTTGTTTAGAAGTCAAGGTATCGTTTCTTTTTATATTCCTAGATAATATTAAATTATTTATTTATTTTTATCTCTATTTATTCAGGTGAATTTATCAATAATGAATCGGATGATATAACATCAACAATAAATTCTGTTAGTTCAATCAGCGAAAATCTAAATCAATCAAATAAAACAATTTTATTAGAATCATCAACTGAGAATTTGTTTAATACATTAAATGATTTAATCGATGTAACAACAACATCATCAGATTATAGTGAAACATCACTATCAAGTTTATTTTTATCATCTGCTGATTATTACGAGTCTAGAACATCAGAAAAAAATGATTTATTATTTGGAAAAGAACAATGGTTTAATTATAATCAAATAAGTCAACAGAATTCTTCTGGTTCTTCTATTGTTTGGAGCAAAATAAATGGTAAAGACTGAACTTTATTTCTGTTTTTAAATATTTTTTTTTATTAAAAACAAATAAGATGAATCGTTGAATAGTTCAACTTACATAATAAAATCTGGCGGTGAATGTATGAATCGTATGTGTCGTGTTAAACTGAAATATAATGGTTCAATATCAAATAATATCGATGGTTGCTTATCATTTATTCTTTGGACACGAGGCCAACCAGGTTAATATTGATTTTATTTAGAAAGGCTTTCTTTTTATTTCTTTTTATTTAATTTTAGTTGGACAATTATGGATTGAAGAAGATGAAGAACAAGAAAATTTCTCACAAAAAATTCAATTAACAAATTCAAGTCTTCATGTTGAACATTCATTAAAATCGAATATAAAAAATGTAAATAAAAAGTTTTAAAAATGATTTTTTAAAACTTTATCTGAAAACTTTTAGTTATCAATTGATGCACGAATTTTATTTCGTAATTCTAAAATTGATTCAATAACTTTATCTAATTTAAATGTTAAATGGCATGGGCCTTGTCCAAAATATCGTTCAAGTAATAAAATAAATAGAATATTTTAAAATAAAAAAATACTTCTGTTTCATAGTGACGTCGAGTCCAAATATTTCTTTATATCAATCAACATTTGAACAAGAATTTCTAACGTTAACTAGTGATGATTATTATCAAACAAGTTTATTTACAATAAATAACACATTTGAAAATACTCAAGATTCTTTATTGATTCAATCATCAACTGTTAAATCTCATGAAAATTTAAAGAATAAGAAAAGATTTTTTTTTATTGATCAATCAAATATTCAATGGATTTTAATATCGATAATTTTATTTTGTTTATTAATAATTTTATTATCATTTCTTTACGGTTTATGGACAATACAAGAATATCATCGTTTCATTTGGCATGTTCGGTTTAATTATCCAATTCAATTTATTTCTCGACGATCAATTCGTTCGTCAATAAAATCAGAAAATAAAATCGAAAGATTATCACAAACATCTGATGATCTTTTTCATATCGATTATCAACAAGAACATTTTGATAGTTTTTCAACAAATAGTAGTCGATCAATGTCTTCACCATTTAACTCTTATTTTTAATTTTTCTTGTTTTTAAATATTAATTAAATATCAAGTTCAATTTTCAAGTTGAATACTATTAAGATATTTCCTTTTCTTTTCGTCTATTATAATATTCAATTTAAATTAACTTTAAATAAAAGAAAACAAAAATAAAATTCATTTCGTTTTTATTATTTATTACTCAATCAACTACGACAATTAAACTTATTTCTTCTTTGCATTTTAATAACATATATATACACTCTCGCATTTAACCAAAGATTAAACAAAATCTCACTAAAATTATCTAAACGCTAGAAATAAAATTTATTAATAATTGTTTTATTGATATGCAAAACGGAATTATATTTTTGTGCGCAAATATGGTTCTGTTGGGAAGAGTACCAAATCCACACCACACCCTAATGAAACATTAATTAAAAGTTTATCATATGACTAATAAAAAATCAATTAGATAAAATTGCGTAAGATATTATCAAGATACTAGGAGTTCGATTATTTCTAAAATCTCCATTAGGACAAATAAAAATAAATGAGTAATAACGACAAATTTTTTGTGTTTGGAAGAAGAGGACCAAAAAAAGAAAGCGCTGCGAGTAGGATTCGAACCTACGCGGGAGAACCCATCTGATTTCGAGTCAGACGCCTTAACCACTCGGCCATCGCAGCTTAGCGAGAAGAAGAAAAGAGAATCGATTTTCTTTGATAAGTAAATAGTGGATAGAAATAACAATATAACGAAGAATCACTGTTTTCTTCATTTCTATATTGCTCTATTTCTTTCTGTTTCGTTCTCTGTCTATTTGTCTCTCTTTTTTTTTACCAGCAATGATAAAATGAATGCTTTTTCATGCATGACTCTATTTATTCGTAATTAACATTTTTCTCTGATCATGTCTGAAATGAAGACAAATTCATCGAGTGAAGATACATTAATACGCGATTCTCAAATTAATGGATTTTTTGCATTTAAAGAACGTATTGGTTTTTGTTGTAGTCGAATATTTAAAAGAAGTTCGAAATATGATTTATCTTCTATTTCAAAGAAAGATGAAGAACAACAAGACAAACCATCCTATATTAATCAAGCATTACAAGAAGAAAAACAACTACGAAAAGATAAATTGGAAAAAATAGCGAGAACCTTGCCAGGTGTGACTTCAACTCATACACAAGCAATGCGAGGACCTACATCGGTAACGCAAACTCCAACACGTTTATTAACAACAATAACACAAGAAACACCACGTTCTGGTATTACTTTAGCTCAACCGCGACCTCCAATAAGTACGTCAGTATCAAAAACAGGAATATCAACAATAAGTAAACCATCACCATTGGTTACAAATACAAAAACTAATAAAAACGATTCAGATGAAACAAGTATAGTTCTTTTATAAGATAGATTTAAATTTTTCATCTAAAAACTCTTTTTCTCTTTCAGCTGATTCAAGTAAACAAGAAAGTTCAGACGACGATGACAGATCATCTGATTCTGGTAGTGCTCCAGCGAAACGAGCTCCTACTAATCGTGCAAATAATCGACGATAATTCCTATGAAAATAAAACACGAAATTTTATCAAACAAAATAAATTTAATGAAGATTTATTTTTTTAAAACTCAGTGGAAAAGAAAAACAATTAGAGTTTTTGTAAAAGCTTTTTTAATCTATTTAAATCAACATTCATATTTCCTTGATCATTAACAACAGTAGGTAAAATCCAATATGTTTGATTAAGTAATTGAGACTGAGTATATAATATGTAACCAGCACATGCTTTTAAATCTGTTGGATTAAACATCGAACAAGTCATTGGAAGAGAACTTGCACTGGATCGAAAAGGCATGATTTCAATAATTGTTGTTTTTGATTGAGCAAAATTCATATTTGATAGAGCTCCACTATGAACACCAATTATATATTTAGCATTATAAAAAAGTTCAATACGATGTTTTATATGATTTGAATCTTTTGAATGATCATATTGAATATAGTTTAGAGAATTTTTTAAACAAAATTCTTTTAATAAATCAATAAATGGTTGTTCATTTAAGATAAGTCGAGCTCCATTCATTGCATTCCTTGATGTACGTTGAATATAAATGAAATTTTTTCGATTCCTTGCATCAAATGTTTTCGATAAATTTGATATCGACCAATACATTTCACGTGCATCATGCCATAAACGAGGATGGATGCCAGGAGTACGACATGGATTTATCAATAGACGAGCACCAATTTTCATATTTGGCGAATAATGAATTATGCGTGAAGATTCGTCAACTCCTAGAAAAACATTAATTAAAACAGAAAAAGAAACGAAATAAAATCTAACCAAGCATTGACCAAATTTCTTTGACAGATCGATCAAATCGAGCACCTCTTATTATAATAACTTTAGCGTCGGGATATTTATCTAAATATGATCTAGAATGAGATAGTTTGGGTCCAATTCCATCAAGAAAATGTTGAAAACTCCATCCATCAGGAACTGTATAAATAATAGCTTTATCATAAATAACTGTTGTATCACTTTCTCTTTCAAATGTCCTTCTAATAGATTTATCTTGATAATTATAGCCACAATCATCATTTAAATAGAGACCATTTTTTACAAAAGCAATTTTAACTGAAAGATGTTCTTTCATATCATTAAATAAAACTCCATTTTCTTCACAAGATTTCTTTGGACATTTGTTTGAATTGATTTTATAATATGTTGAATTATAAAACCAATTCTTTGCTTCATCATCAAAAAAATTGGGCAGAGGAATATAGAATGGTGACATATTTTCAGAAATTTCTTGAAATTCTTTATTTGAATCAAATGAAGTTAATGGAAGAGATTCTTTATTGATTATTAACTCATTTTTCATTGAAACACAGAATAAACGATGGACATGAAATATTCCAATTGTTAAACATACAACAAAAGATAATATTTTAAGGAAACGACATGGACGAAAATGCATTTGTTTTTAAATAGATTCAATTTTTAAAATATTTCTAAAATAAAGTATATTTATAAGGTTAACCAGTGAATTTATTATTTCATAGAGAACAATTTTACACTGAATCTTGTTCAATCATTTTCTTTGGTAACAATGGCAAAAAATATATGAAGATTTTCTGCATTAAAATTGGTTTATTTTTGTTTGACGCTGAATGGTCATGTTCTGTACTTTAAAAATATATTTGAATAAAATGAGATCTCTCTAGGTAAAACTTATTGATTTCAAATTAATTTCATGAGACAATAAAAAAAGTATTCCGCAAATCAAAAAGTGATTTTACAACATTGCAGTGATTGTATCTATTACTGTTATATTTAAAGATAACGATATCTGAAGGTTTTCCTTAATATTTTTTTTATTCTTGTCCACTATGTAGAAAAATAAATAATTAAACACAATATTGTTGAAATTTTCAAGTGCTTCTATATGACACTGATTTCAAGTATCTTGAAAATACGAATAGGTCAATCTCAGTAGAGAAAAAACAGTTGATATTTTAAATGAATACGTCGTTTTGCTGTATCTTAATATTGCCAACCATCTTAACTTCAAGTTTAAGATCTCAGATTGCCAGTAAAAAACAGCATTTGAATTTAATATTTTATTTATTCCTGATGAAGATTTTCAAAATACTTGGTTAGAGAGATAAATATATAATGACTTCGGTGTCCGTGTAACTAAAACAAATACTATTCATGCATAATATTCAGGTAGTCTTCAGGAAATGATATGTTCAAATCGTCATTTATGTAAGCTTCTAAAAAAAAGCAACTAAGATTTTTTTCATTCTTCAAAATATACATCTGGTTAATACATGCAAAATATCTCAGAGAAAAATAATGACTTGAAAGTCTCCTGTCAGATTCATGCTAATAATATAATTGTGAGTTGGGTCAACTGTATTTGCAATTCTGAATGGTTATTCTCTAGATTCAATTTTGAGATATAGTCAAGATTTCAATATTACAATCCAAACTTTTAATGAGTATTTAAAAATATTAAGACTTCGCGCGTGGAAAAGAATCTTATCAAAAACCTAAATAGTTGATTTTATCAATTATTCTAAATTCCATCAGATATATGTTGACCTACATTTGTCATTTTGACTTCATTTTAATATTAAACCTTAGAATTGAATTTAACTATTCAAGTCGATAGAATCGGATATAGTTTAAAATGTTTTTCTTCGAGAAACAATGATACAACGGTAGCTTTATCTACGATTTCTTTTGCATTTAATTATCTATTTTAGTATACACCTCAAACAAACATGCAAGCACAGATTATTTTGAAAAGTAAATTCTTATCGAGTTCTTACGTATTTAATCTAATTTACAATTTTTCAATGACGTTTTCTTTCGTCATCATACTTCTTTTTATAGTTCAAATCAAACCTTATCACAGATTTTTCTTAATAATAAAGTCAGAAAAGTGATCTTACCTTCACTGTTCTTTGAGTTGTTCGATATAAAACGTCGAACTTCTACTTGTTTGAATATCCAACCGGATATTTATTGTAATTATTTTCGATCAAATTACATGCAATGATTCTGAATACATCCAGAATTCTCTTTCCATATCACTAAAATATAGAAATTAGATCGAATAGTTAAACAAATAGAAATAGGTAGTTTGATATACATCAATTTATGTGACATATTTCTCTATTTGTTTTGTTTAACGAAACGCCAACTGTCGAATAGTTCTCATATTTAAATCAGACAAATAATTCTGTCGAAGACAAACAAAGAATGATCTTAAGACTGGAATTTTTTAATCAGAATATTTTCAAGAAATAAATGTAGAATGATAAACAATTTGACATTAGCTATAAGAAAAACCATATAATCACTTATAGTTCGAAATGAAAATAGAATTGTTGACAAATGTATTTGTTTGTGATGACACAACCATCATTATATTCTATTTTTATGTTTGTTAAGTAAATGCACAGTTCTTTCTTTGTTGTTATTATGCATGTTCCACATTTTAATACATAATCGCTTCAGTTTTTTTTCATTAGTTCCTTTCAGCTCTTCTCGTACTAATACTCGTACTAGGAGGGTCAGTACTCGTACTCGAGAAAACCCGTGCTTGCTCAGCTCTATTACGTATTTACTAAACATCGCACACGTGACAATAAAATCCTTTTTCAATATTTATTGTTCAACAAACAAAAAAGAAGTAATTGAGACTATTAAATCGCGACGAGTAACTCAATTATTAGTTATATTCTAATTTTACAGTCAAAAATGAATTTTAGAGTTTGTTCTTTGAAATACTAGCTTATAATTATAAAATGTACGAAAAGATATTTGTTAGAAATAAATTTAATATGTCGATTTAAATCAGAACGAATAGAATTCAAAAGAGGTTATCAATTACTTATAATAATGAAGTATAATACCAAAACAAAATGGTCANAAAATTCATTTTTGACTGTAAAATTAGAATATAACTAATAATTGAGTTACTCGTCGCGATTTAATAGTCTCAATTACTTCTTTTTTGTTTGTTGAACAATAAATATTGAAAAATCATTTCTCACTACGTTGTGGTCGTTGTAGACATACAAATCCTACACTGATCGCACGTGAAATGGCTACGGTACATTTGTAGTCATTTTAATGTCAATACTCTTTTCAATTGATGGTCTTATAGAGAATATCTCAATGAAAAAGGCATATTCTAGACAATAATGTCATACAAGAAATAAGAAATAGTTTAAAGAAAAAGATGTTTCTTTTCTTTGGTTTCAAATACATATTTTTCAATCGTATTTGCTTGTTATACACACGTCGATTAAATACTGATTAGAGAAAAGCTTTCAGTTGACAACTGAGAGATATTTTCATAAGATTAGTTGTCTTTATAAATACAATAGGAAAAGATCTCTTTTGATTCAATATGAAATTATAGCTTACCTAATTGTGCTGGTGTCAACATATAACGGTCAAAAAGAAATAAAATTACGGTCTTTTTAAAATACGAAAGAAAGAAATTTTTTCTTTTCCTCTCGCATTCTTTCTTCTTTTCTTCTTCTGCTTTACAAGAGAATTAAAATGTGAGCAGACATTAACGTGTCTTGACTACGAGAACGACACAGATGCCGAACATAATTTCTCAACTACTTCAAGTATCACAATAAATAAAAGAGAAAAGAATAAATATCTTCAAAATATTTCTTCATTTTAAATAAAATAAACTTTCGGAGTGTTCTATTATTTATACTTTTTTCTTCTCGCAAAAATAATTATCATCTATATATTGTAAAACGTTTTCACTTGTTAATGCTATTGTTCTAAAGAAAACAATGAGTTAATTTCAATATCTTGATAAATAGTAGTATGAGGATCATGCTTTTCACTATGTCTCTGTTAATAAAGCTAGTTTTGCATTGCAAATTATAGTCGCTTGTCAATTCTAAAGGAAAAAATAATAAAATGATTTTCTCGAGATTCTTTTTTCAAAAAAAATAATTATAGATAAAAATATATGATTTGAAATCGCTTCTTGTTGTTATAGAAGATTAATGAAATTCAACACGACAAAATAATGACGAATCGATTCGAAAATTTTGAAAGAATATTTTTAAAAATTGATATTCTGATAAATTCATTTCAATGCTTCGATGATTTAATATTTATTGTTTTCGTTTTGAAAGATATCTGTAATACAGCTGAATTGAATTAATTGATCAGTTGCATTCAATTTAGTGGTAAGGAAGATGCTTCGATCAATGAGATTTTTTCATAAAAAGAAAGAATAATTTTATGTAATATATTAAATTTAAATTTATTTTTATAAAAAATAAAAATAAAAATGTCGTTAACTTAATCAAAAACACATTTATGCAACATAATATTTCCTTGGGAAAATAAATTTAAATTTAAATAAAATGATTGGATAAATCAATTTTCTTTGTTTGAGCGGCATTTTATTTCATTTGTTGTATTGGTTCGTGTGAAAGAAGACAAAAACCTCTTTCGAATATTATAAAAATGTCATTTGATATCAAAAATAAAGAAAATAATTCCAAATATTGTTCTCAATGTTTATCAAAGAATGATGTTGAACATGTTTGTTCATCTCAATTGTTATCTGATTCCGTTTATACATTATCTGAAATGGCAAATGAACAATTAAATCAATTAGAAACATTTTCATTAGCACAAGTTCATGTTAAATGTCAACAAGATTTAGAATTGTGGCATTCGGCAGCTGTTAATCATCTTGGGCAAATTTTTACTCAACGTTTAGCTGATTTAAATAAAATTTATAATGATGATCTTCAACCTGAATTCGAAAAATATAAACAAAAAATGATTGAACAACTTAAAAATCGAATTATACCAAAAATAACTAAAATGCTTGATGATTCATCATCTAGTACAAAAAAGGCTGAACAAATTCAGGTTTTATTTCATTTCTTTTACTCAGAAGATTTTCTCAGATTATTTCAACAAAATAAAATCTAATTTTCTCTACGAAACCAATCATAGAATGATCTAGTTTCTTTTTCTCCCATTTTTCAGTTTTTCTGTAAAACGAAATTTCATGAAGATTGCCTACGGAAAAAACATGATTACTTTATTTCGTTCTTCTCATCTGTTCTATTAAAAGTAATCGAGAGTCATGAACGAAATGGAAATATAGAAAGAATTTTCAAGAGAAATTTTATTTTATTAAACAATTCTATTTTATTTAGATGCTATTAAATCATTTGAAAAGTGAATGTGAAATAATAAATGATCGCCAATGGATACATGTATTACTACCTGATATCAGAAATTTTTCTGTTCCAATTCGAATAGCAAAAATGGCTTTAGCTGCTCGTTTAACTGATGGAGAAAAAGATCCATTGGACGATTTAAGTGACGAAGAAAATAAAAAAGAGGAAAATTTATCGATTAAAAAAAAGAAAAAACTAAATTCAATTGATATATTAGAAATATTTGCATCAAATCCTGATCCATTGAAAACTTATTTATTAGAAACAAATTCATCAACATTAGCTTTTTCAAATAAACATGTTCTTATTCATGATAATAAAAAATTAATTTTATTTGATTTAAATAAAAAAATTTATGAATTTGAATGGAATGATAATGATTATGGTTTGTTGTTTCTTCTTTTACTTTTAAAAAGTTTTTTTAATTTTAAAAGAACTATTATTTCAAAGATTTTAATTAATTTCTTGGTTTTCGTTCTGGAATTAAACTATCTTTAGGTTTTTATCAGATAAAATCGTTAACTATGAGTTGTTGAAATTAATTTTTAAAATAAAATAAAATAAAATAAATATATATTTTATTTTTAATTAAAGGTATTTTGGTTGATATATGTTGGATGGCATCATTATCATTATTTGTTATATTAACAATTCATTCAGTTTATTTATATGATCCAACAAAAGGTTATGGAAGTAATCCAATTAAAGTTGAATCAATAAAGCCATTAGATCGAACGCATGTATTAGCATCATTATCACCATTTGATAGAGACTTATATATAAATTATCATAAAGGTGTTCACATCGATCATTATCGTGTAACACCAACTTCGGAATGGATATTAGAAAAACGATTTTCAAAAAATGAATGTTCAGAAGCAAAAGATATTGGAATTCGTGATGTTCGATGTGATCTTCAACATATTTGTTTATCAATAATGCAACATGATGATTTAAAATGGAGATTAGATTTAATGTCACGTGATATGGTTCGAGTGCGACGAGGAGTTCCAATGGATTCAGGAGAAAATCAGCATAAATTTTTTTCAATGTTAATTCCGCTTCAAGATCAACGTTGGTTATTCGTTAATTGGTTTACAAATCAACTTTGGATTGTTGATCAACAAGGAAAAACAAGATTAGTTAAAGAAACTAAAATTAAAAATATTCGAAATATTTCTCTTTCAACTGATTCATCATATATGGCTATTAGAACTGAAAAACCATCGGCACTTAAAATATATAAACTTGATTAAATCACTTTTTTTTCTTTTTTTCTCTCAATTAATTAAATCATATAAAACTAATCAATATAGTTTACTTTTTCTTCATTCTGTAACAAAAGTTAGATTAGATTCTTTTTTTATTGAATCAACACTTAATTTCTATTTCTTATTAAATCTGATCATCTCTATTAAATCATGGTGAAAAAAGAAAGAAAAACCTCGATTAAAATTTTCAATTGCTAACACATTAAATATATTCTAAATCTAATCAAATTCAAAAATCCCTCAAGATACATGATAAAGACAGACTAAATTGTCAATTTGTTAATCTCATATTCAAATATGTTTTCTCTTATTAATTATTAATAGAAACAACTTAACATTTTAGATATTGGAATAAAAACAAAATTTCTTTTGAGAATTTCTTGATAAAATATGTAAACATGACGAAAGAAAATCAAAGAGAACTTTGACTTGGTTAAGTTAATTTGACGATGATTGATTTTCGAGAAATTTTCTTTTGAAGATAAAATAATCGCCGAACTATTTTGTTTGAATAAAATAATAAAATCATTTGTATTTTTATTGAATTGATAGTTTTTAAATAATTTTAGAAAAAAAATAAAAAATAATGAAAATCTATTTAACATTAGCATTTTATCTCAATAATCTTAAATAAAACTTCAAAAAACAAAAAATTGTGTCAGAGTAAACTAATAGAAATTGTTTAAGAGTTGCTCTGGCATGTTAACTGAGCGGACGCTTCGAAAATATCCTGCAGTTTCGTGTTTGATTCAATCATTTTTTAGGATAAAATTTGATTTATTTGATAACGAAGGATGATTTTGAAAGATATAATTTTTGTTCTTGAAGATTAAAAAAAGGTTTCATCCGACTCAATGAACGGGGCCAGTCGATTTTGAACAATGAAGATGTCAAAAATCTATCTTCATCGATTTGAACTGATTCTAGAGTTTTTCATAAAAGGAATTTAGTTCAATGAATATAGCTCTGGAGCGTCTTATTTTGTTCAGAAATGTTTGAAAAACGTTTAGACATGTGAACATTTTTTTTCTAAGACTCGATTTTCCTCTTAAATCTGGATCGAACAAGAAAATATCGAATCTATTGATTTCTTTTAGAATCCAACTGATGATTTTACTCGTTGGAGTAAATCTTTACAACCGTATTCAATTGATGTATTGTAACTACAAGGAAATTTAAGTAAAGTTTCTACTGAAGCGCGAGAGATGCATAATAAAAAGCACAAGAAGTTCTTAAAATTCTTAAAATAGTAACGGATGATAGAGAATTAAAACAAATCAATTTGTTTTTTATACTTGCTGATGATTAGTTTGATTTTATTAACCGTTTAAGAACACATCGACATATGTGTACGTTAGTTCTTCTTGCATAATCAATGATAAATAAATATAAATAAATAAATAAATAAATAAATATAAATAAATAAATAAATAAATAAATATATATATTTTTGTTTTAGTTATGTATTATACTTGTTTCATCGCAAACTGTATCAAAATAAGCAAAAACTGAAGAAAAAAATGCGAAATGATGCAGATTTAGCTTGGATTTTACAAGCTTTATCAGAAACTGATCGAACTGCTGTAATACAAGTTACTTTTTTGTTTATTTATTCTTAAAATACAAATTCTTGTTATTTCTAGAAATAGAATAATCGTGAACGCCGTGTATCATCAAGAAAAAGTCGCCGTAAAGATAGAGATAAAGAAGCTATGAAAACTAAAAATGGAATTGCTGAAGTAAAATTAAATTATTAAAAAGAAAATTCAAAGAAAAATGAATATTCTTTTTTTGTTTATGTTAGTCAACTACTAACCCACAATACATTGTCAATTTAGAAGATCGTATGTTTACACAAGGAAGTAATTTTACGGCTAATAAAATTTGTCGATTAGCTGATGATTGGTTTATATCAAGTACAAAAGAAAGGTTATGAAGAAGTTAATGTACCTTCTCTTGAAACAATCAGCACTTGATCCAGATGACATAAATTTCAAATATTTTCAACAGTGTTTAGAATATAAATAGATTATGTTAATGACGGAAAAGAAATGTTGAAAAGAAAGAATGTGAAAATTTTCTCAGATATTGGTCCAGACTAAAATATTTGATACATTCATTAGAAGACTCGGAGTATTCTATTATGTTCCTAAAAGAGTCTTCTTTTGTGGGAGTCTCCCTGACAATATTCAGTTTTAATTCTTTGAACCCTTACGCTTGTCTACGAAGAAATAATTCGTAGAAAAACAATAATTCGACATATATTCAGTGGTTTATTTTGTCTTTTTCGAAATAAGCAATTAGATCTTTTCGTTAAATGAAAAACATACTGAGACTCAGAAGGAGTAACTCATAGACGTGTGTACCAGAGGAAATAGTTTCTTGAATTATGAATACGATGTTTTATGATAAAAATGTGACTAAATTTCTAGAAGAAAGTGCAAAGGCAAAGTGATATTTTAATTGGTGCATAACGGGATTTTATCGAATATGTTCCTATTTCAAAAAGATCTCCTCATATGTAACCCCATGGAATGTGTATTGCGTCATTTAGCTCCGACAATTATAATGACCTTTGTTTTTGTACAGAGAACTTGAAGAATTTATTCAGAGTATTCTGCAAACAGAGCAGTGCAGTGATTACATGATATAATTTCACCAAGGGGGAAAAGGCGGATTTGGGATTTTCAGAATCCCAAAATCCAAAACGTGAATGATGGAATTTCCATCTGATTTTTTCCCCATATGTAAGTCTCATGATCCTTAGAATATTCTGAAATTTTCAGCGCAAACAGATGTTTCATTCTCAAGATAATGAATGCGCAAGAAATACTCATTTCACGGCACGGTCAGAAAATCCATGTTTTTTGAAAATTCAATATTTTAAGAAGGAAACATTTGCTCGAGTTGAAACTTTTAGGATCTTTTATGGACCATGAAACCTATATATGGGAAGAATTTCAGGTCGAAACAACGTCATTCACAGAGGGAAAAAAAGCTTTTCAATTTATGGGATTTTGGGATTTTCAAAATCCCAAAAATCCGTCTTTTCCCCCTTGAATTTCACTCTTTGTCGAATCTTTAGGTCCTTCTACCTCTAAAATATTCCTATGAAAATGGAAGCTAAATATTGTTCATACTGAGCTTAGATATTATTATGAACCGAAAATATTTAAAACACAATCAATAAACAGCAGAAATTATTTTAAAAAAATCAATTTTTAGAAAGACGTTTGTTAATGTATCGAACACTTTATAATCCCGTATAATTTCTATTCCACTAGAGTCAAATCTGAAGTTGACTGTATTAAACTTCATACATAGATTTCAGATTCTTTGTTCAATTTCAATTTCAAATTTATATAAATACGTTCAACTAGTATTTGAAAGTTATAAAATCTTAAATCATATTCAAACATGTAATGGTAACAGCAGAATTAGAACCTGACGAAAATATTTTATTATGTGCACCAACAGTAAGTCGAATTTTTTTCTTTTACGAAAATAAAAACATCATAACGTTTTTTTTTTTATTAAAGAGTAATGATAAAACAAATGTTGCATTATATTGTATTTTACGTGAATTTAGTAAATATGTTAAACCTAATGATACAATTAATGTTGATGAATTTAAAATGATTTATATTGCACCAATGAGATGACTTGTACGGGAAATTGTGGGAAATTTCACTGAAGTAATTCTTTTTATTGTTTTTTCTAACTTAAAAAACACATTCGTTTTCATGCTAAATTAGCGTATAAATCCATTGGATTAAAAGTTGCTCAATTAACTGGTGATCATTAATTATCACGAGAACAAATCAATGAAACTCAATTAATTGTTTGTACACCTGAAAATGTGATATTATAAAACGTACAGGTGGTGAATGTTCTTATACACAATTAGTTCGTTTAATTATTCTTGATGAAATACATCTATTACATGATGACCGTGATCCTGTACTTAAAGCTGTTATAGCTCGAACAATACGTACTAATGAAACAACTCAATAGATTGGCATAACAGAAAAAAGGCTATTAAACGTTTTCAAATAATCAATTATCTTGTTTATGACGAAGCTATGAAACATGCAGGAAAAATTCAAGTAAAAAAAAAAATAAAATTTATCTTTTGAATTTGAACTTTTTAATTTGCTTTTATAAGTTTTAATTTTTGTACATTCAAGTAAAGAAACTGATAAAACAACACGTGCCATTCGTGATGCTTGTTTAGAAAGATACAATTAGTGCATTTATTAAAGAAGGTTCAACTTTACAAGAAATTCTTCAAATAGAAGTTGAACAAACAAAAAATTTAGTATTAAAAGATTTATTTCCATATTCATTTGCTATACATCATGCTAGTATGAATCCAGCGGATCGTACATTAATTGAAGACCTTTTTCCTGAAAGACATAATCAAGTACTTGCATCGACATCAACAGTTACACTTGCTTGTAATGTTAATTTATCTGCACATGTGTTTGTTATTAAAGATACACAAATTTAGAGTCCAAAAAAAGATCGTTGAACAGAATTAAGTGCTCTTCATGTTATGCAAGTAAAGTAATTCTTTTTTTTCTTGAATGCGATTTTACAATGAATTTTATAGGTTCTTGGTCGAGCTGGTTGTCCACAACATGATACATGTGGTCAAGGTATTTTAATTACTAGTCATAGTCAATTGCAATATTATTTATCATTAATGAAACAACAAGTAATTCGTAGTGTGAATTTTAAAATAGAATCTTTCTCTAATAATGATTTAACATAGTCGAACTCTGTCTGGTGGAGAAACTTGTAGTAGAATTTAGTTGATGTGACTTCAAACAGGAGATAAGGATTGACAAAGTGGTATAGCTTTTCATGTTGGTCCTGGTACACTGTTTTTTAAATCAAGAACTAGATTCAGAAAAGCTGAACATTTTTTGACAAACTGGGATTCAAATCTGAGAAGGTCTGCTTGCCAGCCAAATAGAATTATTCGATTCCGTTTCGTTTCCTGTTCAATAGCAATTTAGTCACTCCTTTGAATGTAAAGCTTTTCGGTCATTATTTTCTTATTTATAATACGAACTCTTTAGTCTTATTATTGTACTTGCCTATATTTTGAAAGAAAACTTCATTAGTATTTCAGAAAACGAACATAAATTCAAAACTTTATGCAGTCGTTCTAGTTCTGCATATCCTAAGTTCTGATACTATCAAATTAACTTTCGAAGTGACATCGATTACAAATAAATTTCTGAGCGGAACTTGTTTTTTGCATATGTTCGATTGTGATACATGCATACAAAGAATTATGCAAACTATTTAAAAAGACTTTCTTCTGTTTAGCAATCAAATTGGGATCGTAAAAAGTGATTACACAGATTCGTATAGAACGAGACCACAGAACTCCCCTTTATCTTTCGCAATTGAATTAAACAAAACTCATAAAATTTTGACTTTTAGCTTCTAATTGAAAGTCTAATGATCTCAATGCCGATGTTGGTTTTGGTACAGTTCAAAATATTTGTGAAGTAGCCGAATAGCTTATTTATATGTTCTCATGATAAAAGAACCGCAATTATATGGTGTATCAAATGAATCTTTGCTTGTGGATAAATATCTTTTTCAAAGATGTTTAGATTTAATTCATTTCACAGCTATTCAATTAGATACATCGCATTTAATACATTATGATCGTAAAACAGGTAGTTTTCAAATAACTGAACATGGTCGTATAGCAAGTCATTATTATTATATAATCAATTAGTAAAAGCAACATTAAGTGAAATTGATTTATCATCAGAATTTTCTCATAACTATGAGAAGAAGAAAAAATAGAATTGCAAAAATTACTTGAACGTGCACTATAATCAATGCCAGCTGAAGAAAGTATTGATGAACCAAGTGAAAAAAATTAAAATACTTTTACAAGCCTATACATCACAAATAAAACTTGATGATTATGCTTTAATGGCTGAAATGGTTTATATAACACAAAGTGCTAGTCGATTAATGAGTTGTCTATGAAATGATTTTACAACGAGGCTGATCATCATTAGTTGATAAAACTTTAAGTTTATCGAAAATGATTGATAAGTGAATGGAAGAAAAAAGAAGAATTTGCATGAGAAAAATTGTTTGAATCTTTGTTTTAGGTGGCAAATTATATGTCTATTAAAGACAATTTGAAGAGATTCCAAAAGAAATTATACGAAAAATTGAAAAGAAAAATATTTCATGGGGTACATTTTATGATTTAGATGCACGTGAAATTGGTAAGAGTACAAACAAATGTAAACTAATGAAAAAAAAAAGTTTAAAAATGTAAATAACATTAAGCAGGAATTCCCAATAATTGAAAAACTGTTCGACTTTTTGTCAAAGATTTTCGTCCTCCTGATAGATTTTCAAAACAAAAACGGGTTTTTAGATAGTACAGGTTACTTTTCAAGAAGAACGTCAACTAAAATACCTGCTCGTCAGGAATAAGTGTTGTCGCCAGTGGACCAGAATTGGAGGAGCTACCAGTGTAATACGATTTTCAAGGGTTTTGTTTGCACGAATTTTCACGAGTTTGTAAGTGTAGACTAATTCTATGAGTATCAGCTAATAGTCCGAATTCAGCGTGATCAACAATTAACTATCTATTGTTTGACATCGGAAAAATATCTGTAGCACTTGAACTAGATGAATTCAGTTAATCGTATTTTTTCTTTATCGTAAGAAATAAAAATCAAAGATTAGCTTAAGACAATAGATAAATTCAATCTTTATTCTTTGAAAAGTAGAGATAAACATTGTTTCGCCTATGTAAAAGGTAAATATTATACTAATTTTTAAAGAAAATAGTGAACAAGAACGATTTATAATTTACAAGATGACTGATCGTCATCTAGGTCTATAGTCGGATACATATATTTCGTTATTTGATTGTTTTTTCATTCTCCATCTAGAACTATACTTAGATATACGTGTACATTCTTTCTTACTAGCGGTTCATTGTTTTCATCATTTCGCTTCGTTATATATAAAACTGCTTATTTTTCATCTTAGATGTTAACAACAAAATGGTCGAAGAACAAGAAGTTCCCAACATTGAATTATATTTGGAATCAAATCGACTCTCATTAAAATTATCTATCAGAAGAAATGCTAATGGTCAATATATTACCCCGGTCGAAGAAAACGATCAGTAAACGGTCGTATACGATACAAATACGACCCGTTTTACGTAGCGTATTTTCACCGTATAACAGGGGCAGTAATACGGTCGTATGTTCTATAGAATACGATAATGCTACGCCTGCTTTACGAGGTTTTACGGCTGATATACGGTGTCCGTGTACGGCCGTAATACTGCCCCTGTTAAAACGCCTTAATACGGCTTAAAACGGCCGTTTTACGGCGGAATACGATGCAAAAACGACCGTTTACGGTAATATTACGCCGGTTTACGGTGGTCCGTTTTGATCGACCTGGGTAGCATTGCTCAATACGGCATTGTTAACAAATTGGACCACGAAGTTCCACAATCAACGACAGGAAAGTAAGTAACACATAACAAATTTTTTCACTGGAAGTAATCCATCCAAAAGTTGTTATCAGTAATTATTCTAAGCTGGAGTGTTCGAGAGTAACAAAAAAAAGCTCGGTGCATGTCTAATCATAAGTAATATGTAACTATACTAGATTTAATCAGGATTGAAACGATTCACTTGTCACGATGAAGTTTTTGTACAGAGAAAACTAATCATCTCCATAATTTGTTTTAGATAATTCTAATTAAATCATTGGATTGATAATACATTTTTGTTGTTTATTTTCGTACAATTTTCAATTTGGTGTTCACGTATAATCATCAATTTTTTGTTTTACACTTTTCATACATTCATTGATTGATTATCGATACTTCAATTGATATATTACTCGTATTAAAATCGATTGTTTTGCTTATTTTTGCACTATCAATTGTATACTTTAAGATTCGCTGTTACTTATTGTTATATTAAAAAATATATATATATATCATGATTGGTGTTATGGTAGTGAATTGTCATTCTTATTAATTAATCTTCTTATTATGCATAAAAAATATACCTGTGTTTAAAAAAAAATTCTTGATCTTTTTTTGTGCAAAAATTTATTAAATAAAATAATTAAGAGATAAATTATTTTATATGCTGATGAAAAACTGCCAAAAATTAAATATTTATGAAGATACACTGGGGAACGGTTTAAGATATTTTTTGTTTTTTTGCTTTCTACATGAAACGCTGCTTACAACAGATATCCGAACAGTGATTTCGATAGCGCTCGGAAAGATCTAAAAATCTATTACATCGAAAACATTAACAATGAAGCGGTTCAATTTTTATCAAAGAAAACGATTTTATTCAGCGGAGAAAAATTTATCGCACTTTGTTATTTTCTAGATTTTGCCATTATCGAAAAAGAAAAAGTTTAAAGAAATACTAATAGACGCAGAATTCAACAGACTAAATTTTTCTATAAATATTTTAGATAAATTATTGACTAGTTGGTATGTGACAGTCCACAGCTCAATGAGCCGGATCTACTGACCGCTCTTTTTCTATGAACGGGGTTTTTATTTTCAGTGAATTACATAATAAGAAGAAACATTAATTTAATATTATTCGTTAAATAATTAAACTTAACTTAAGTTTAGGTTAAGTTTAATGGTCAATATCTAAGAGCTGGTTATCCTCCTTCATCTCATCTCGAAAGAGCAACAGGATTGGAACCAGCTCATTAAACCAAGATGGAGATGTCACATACCTATTGGCTATAATAATCAAGTATTTATTATTAATCGTTACTATTAATTAACAGTTAGAGAAAAATATTGTTATAATTTTTGATTTTAACGCACACCATAAGAAAGATCATTGGAAACGAATTAAAATCGTGTATTTGTTTTACAATTTACTATTCAAGTGAGACAGTGTCTCCAAATTTTTATCAGTCATTTCAACAACGATTTCTAGCTATTTTTTCGTTATTTTGGTTGAACTATTCTCAGCGAGTTTCATTTCATGAATATCCGGTTGTATAAAGAGTCGATAGGCCTCTTTTGATAGAGCAAATTCTACTCTAAAAAATGCACTGCTTTTCAAAGTTTTGAAGATTCCTTTATAGAGCAATTTTTTCAATTATCAATGAAGTATTAATTTAATTCTAAAAGACTGCTTGAAAGATCTAATTAAGCTAGGTTGTTGTAAAACAAAATGCAGAGAATGACTAGATCAATCGATGCGAATCACCATAATGTTACTGTAGGTGAGTGTTGATACATCATGCTCTATCATGAAGGGCTCATTTTTTACACCGTATTGTGTCAGTCAAACAGATTTCGTAATACCGATCAGGGATTGGACAAGTACAAATACTTGTTACTTAACTAATTTGCTTTGGACTTGTATCTAAGTACTATGTATGGTAGTACATTGTACCCAGTACTGGTACTGAGCACAAGCGTACTTTAGCACAATGTAGTGAAGTACCGGTACTAAGTACAATGTAGTGAAGTACCGGTACTAAGTACAATGTAATATAGTACCGGTACTGAGCACAAGTGTACTTACGTTAGTACTTCGCCATAATTTCATGTTTTGCTTCTATCATTATTTTCTAAGCTAATATTTACTATTTTCATGATTTACTGACATTTGTAGGACTGAAAAACAATAGAAGGAAATATTGATATTACAATATCTTATATTGATCGACATAAAATCGGTATGTTTTCAATTATTCTAAGTATTATCTGATTATTTTAATCTGACTAAGAGTTTTTTTTTCTTGTTTCTAAAAGAATTTTTCAAGTTAAAAGACGTTTTCAGTAAAACAAAATCGATATTTTCATTGACATGATCAACAAAAAAACAATAAAAATAAATTTATTAGTAAATAGGAATTTCTCTAATATTGCTTTTTTTCATTAAATATTTTATCTAATTTGTTCAAATTTTCATCAATATTTATTTTTCTTTAAATTTTTTAATTGAAAAAATGACAAAAATTATTTTTATGTATTGAATTTAGTTTGAGAAGTGAAAGTAAATTAGCCGGAATAAGAAATCTTGTAAGATGTTGAAAAATGTTTGTAATTTGAATTTATATTCATTTCCAGGGACAAATACAAAAATAACTTATTATCTCTCAACTAATAAATAGTTAAAATACGATTTCATCGGAATTTTATTTATCATAATTATATATATTTATTCAAAATTAACAAAAATAGCATGAAAACAAATTTAATTGAATTTGTATTTGTTCATATTCTTCAATGAAATTATTATTTGACAATTTCAATTCCGTTTTGCTTTTTCATTAAACAGAACAATTAATTGTATTTCTTATGAAATCTTTTAATAAAACTCTTATATTTATATAGAAAATAAAATAATTTTCAAATTAATTCAATATTGAATAAATAAAATTTAAACACCTGAAAAAAAACTAATTTGACGTTAAAGATTTTCTTAGTTAGATATCATAAAAATTAAATAAAAAAATATTTTAAGAATCTTCTTTCAAACAATTTGTTAAAAAAAACAATATTGAAGTTATGAGTGTGAATCTCCTCGTTGTTCACGCTCACATTTTCGTTGACTTCGTGATTTCTCTCGAACTAGTCAGAATCAGAAAGCACCAAGAAGAACTGAAGCTTTCACAGCTTATTTTTTCTTAGAACAGTTGAAACTGTCATATAAACATCATTTCGAGCTTTATAATCTTGAAAAATCTTTCTAGTAAATAATTCGCAAAAATGAGAGTAATATCCACGGGGAAACAAATTGATTTCTAATGATTTCTAGCATAGAGATCAGTTTGTTCCCTCTTGGTAATACTTTGAAGACGATCAGAACCGTGTTATTCTTAACTTGCTACTACGAATGAAAAGATATTTTCTTTAAATAAAATTACCGTTAGTTAAATACGTGAACAAAATAAGGAGTGTCGAATCTATATCTTCTTGAGAGAGGAACATTCTCAGAAAGAGAATAGTATGAAAATGTTTCTTTTACTGCGATAACTTCTTCATTAGAAATTTCTCGTGCTTGCTTATTCTTAGTTTATCAATACGCAAATGTTGCTCCTTATGTACAGCTACTATTGTCTATGTATTATATTAATTGATAATAAGTTCAAAAATTATTTTTTCTATCTGTTCTACATGGTCAAGATATGAAAATGATTAGCTACTCGATTAATCTACCAATAGTCGAACAATGTAAACATATTCGGTATCGTTACGAACTTCTTTTAAATTTCAATCTATATGTTTCACTTAAAAAAGCTTTCAACTAGGTTATTTTATCGTTTCGATTGATGCTTGTCACTTTTGATTTGTTCGATAATTTTCATTCTTGGCATCACCAATGATCCAATTGGACAAACATCCAATGATAATGATCGTCCGTTGCAGTGATGATTAAATAGCTTGTTCACAGAGAAAGAACAATGACAATTATTGAATAGAACATGTATATATAAAGCAGAAGTGATCTTGTAATTGTCGTCATATGAGTATATCAATGTCGTCAACACATTTCATATCTTTACCTGATATAGTTTTACTGGAAATCTTTGGATATTTATCTTGTGAAGATGTTTTGTACGCTTTCGCTGATTTACATGACACCCATCTTATTGATTTACTTATCGAACATGGATCATTTCGACACATTTGTCTCTCATCACAATTGTCTTGTCATCAATATAAAATTCTTTCACAAGGAAGCTGGCGTTATGACTTGGTTCGTTCACTTGTATGCAAAGAAATGTTCTCTGACTTCATTAGTGACTTAGCACCATGTAAAATATTTTCTTCGTTGACCGATTTACGAATACTTTCTTTACGTTGTCCATCAGAATGCCTTTCAGAGTTCGTAATCGCACACTCTTCCACACTCACATATTTTACAGTGATGAGAAGCGAACTATCGTTTCAAATGGAAGGTTACCGTACGTTTTTGCACAGCGTATTGCCTCATCTTAGTCAACTTAGACTACTTGATACGGACTGGAGAAGTTATGTATCGGTAAGATATAATTAAACTGGTGAACAAAAATAATATTATTTATTTATAGATAGATTGGAGTTCATTAGCAGGTCGTCTGAAATCACTGGAACACTTATTCACATTCATGGATAGCATGTCTGATGTATATGCATTGGCAGTTGATGGATTTTCCCCTTGTTTACGATGTCTTCATGTCCACATCAACAATGCCGTTATTAAATCTGTTTTAAGGGAATTGTCAACCACAACAAACTTTCATATGTCGCAACTGGAAACATTTGATCTATATCTAAACTGGCGAGAAGAAGATGAAGATGAAGAACAAATTGAATGGACAGTAGTCGAGACATTAACCTCAAAATCTGTTATGCCTCGACTTCGGCAATGTTCAGTGGTCTATAAGTTGACGACAAATATAGAGATTCGACATATGTTTCAATCACCTTTTTTTAAAAATGATGAAAGAAATATTCGTATTCGTTTTGTACTTTGTTTTAATACTTCAATCTTCATCGATTCATCTGATATTGCTAACATATCCGACATCCGTTCTGTCAGTTCCAATGAAATTTTTCTGAAGCATGTGAGCAGTTTTTCTTTCTACGCAATTTAAAAAATAAGTATCTAACTCATTCAGATCTAATTTTTTTGCTCTAGAATAATGAAGATAACTCAAAATTATATCTAACCTGGTTCAGCCAATCGTGGCCAAGTTGGACGACATTTTGGATGTACCACCGTGACGTAGCACCGCGTAATGGTGTCCGCGAGTTGGGAATCACAGCTTCAAACACTTCATTGCACTCTATTGGTAAATTATTCCCTAATGTGAAAGAGTTAATGTGTACATATCCTGCATCATTATCCATGGCCGACTCATCGTTGGCACCAACACCATTAGTTAACGTACTTCATTTAACAGTACTCGATGTCGTTCCAGGCTTGGAACTACTTCTTGATGGCATTATGCTACCTCGTTTGCGCTCTATACGTGGCATGATTGTACCACTGTTCGTTACTCTTGCACGTCGAACAAATCAAATGAGAACTCTTGATACCATCGATCATTTAGAGATTACAGATCAGAATAATGGTGATGAAAGGAGTTTTTCTTTTAAACAGTGGTATATGCTACTTGATGCTGTTCCTCGTTTACGAACACTACTTTTTCAATTTCACAATGCAAAATGTCCACCGATTGCATTGGCAGATCTATTTATTGATTATATAAGACGAACAATACGGACACCCCTTACTCTTTTCTCTTGCTGTATCGATGATGTTAATGATATAAACAGCAAAGAACACTTTATCACACGCTTAGAGGAAGGAATCAACATGGTGCGTCCTTCTATCCAATTTGCATCCATTAGTTCAACAAGACTTTATGCTTGGATGTAATATTCTTTTTGTTTTGTTTTCTGACAAATAATGTTAAAATAACATGTATCTTGTTATAAAAGACTGAACATTTCCTGTCAAGTGATATTCTATTACTCAAGATCTTTTCGACACAAGAATATCAATTTTGAATAACTGTATATGCGCATTTGCTGAGTTGCGAAGAAACAAATTGTGTAAAAGTTTAAATTTGAATTCGTATATTAAATTAAAATAGCGATTCGTAGCAGAGATGGACAGCTCCGACTCCGGAGCGGCCGCTCCTTGGAGCTAGCTCCGCTCCATGGAGCGGAGCGGAGCTGAGCGACTCATCAGAACAGTGGAGCTGGAGCGGAGTCGGAGCGACTTTTGTTTCACCNGCTGGAGCGGAGCTGGAGCGAGTCAGAGTGGAGCGGGAGCGGAGTCGGAGCGCTTATTTTTTATTCGGACCGGAGCTGGAGCGGAGCTGGAGCGAGAAATGGTCGGAGCTGCCCATCTCTGATTCGTAGGTAGACTGTAATTCCCTCATTTTTTAGGAAGGGTCATGAAATAAAATGCGCTTGTATGTTGTCATGGATTTGTGTAGTCACATGTATACATATATTGTTGTGGATATAAAATTGTTTGTTGAATCAGACAGACAAACAAAATAAATTGTGAAGTATTTGAACTCAATATCACCTATGATAGAGAATCTTTTATGGGAGTCAATTGATCGAGAAAGCACCATATATCGGAGTGACCTTTTTTCATTTTGGGCCACCCAGTGAGGCAACAAGCAGTTGAATATAATTTAAAAATGAAAAGAAAAAGGAAGTTTTATTTGCTTTAACTTTGGATATGGATCTACAAACTTTACATACCAATTTTTTCTTTCCATTTCGAGACTATTTTCGACTGTGCTACATGATTGGATGGTCAAAACTGATAAAGTTTTCGCTCAAAAAACTGGCACAAAGTTTGTGGAAATGACATTTTTCCAGAAAATAATATGCTTTCCATGAATTCACCCGTTAATCAAAGTTGAGGAGTTAAATTAAGTGTTGCTTGACGATCCTGCTCTCGATACATCTTTCCTTTCAATGATATTCTCATTTTAATTAAAGTATGTTATACACTACAGATTATTATGTGCGTACGTGAGATGCAATAGGTTTAAAGCAATTATTATGGTTTATGATACTAATTGTAACTTGAAATCTACATAGTTATTTTTTATTGCAAAACGTTTTTAATAATTTCTATTACTACGAACAGACATACAATCTAGTAAGAAGTAAAACAGAATAAATAATTTGAGCCAAGTTAACCTGAAAAAGAAGCGTAAATTGCTCGGTTCGACAGCAAGATTTCTTTGAGCCGGGCTGAGCAGTTCGTTGCGACTCTTGTGGTTTACTTGCTACGATTAGAAAAGGCTAGTAACGAGCCAGAAAGAACAAAATTATTTTCTCCAACACGTCAATTGATATTAATAAGCAAAAGAAAAAATAAAGTTATAGGCTCCAATACGACGTCTTTAATGTAAATATTACTTTAATCGGCAAGTCTTCATTATTTGATCAGAAGAAAAACTAATTTTTACATTACTCAGTCATCTTTCATCAATCGATTATTATGATAAAATCAAATCAAAATGAGATAAAAATAATCCTTTTTTTCTGAAAATAAAATAAAAGATCGATTGAAATCTGAACAAGTACAATAAGATGAAAACAAAAAGGAATCAAATTGACACTGCTTCTAGTCACTTATGAAATCTGATTATCCATTTATCATCGCGAATAGAATGACAATCATCTTTAGTCACTTATTAATTAGAATTGCTTTTTGATTATCGATTCAAAAACTAATATAAATGATTATCACTATTAATAAAAATGAGATCACAGTAAAACGAGAAAAATTTGGATTAAATAAGATATCAATTGCTGTCACTTTTTTCTACATGATTTTTAGTATGATTTAACTAACATCAACGTTTTTTGTTTGATGATTATGATTGCTACATATTATTTTAGTAATTGACTGTAATATTGAATCTCTTCTATGGAAATTTATCTGCTTATTTCAATCAATAAATATACTATTAATACTTAGGGCAATCCAAAAGTAGTGACAGTGGCAGTTTATTCCTGTATAAAAAGTTTGAGAAAACTTTCTTATTATATGCAATAATAGCAAACAAATTCTCTAATTTTCTATAGTATTTCATCAATATTCAACTAATAATAAAATATCGATGAGATCTGTTTTTCTCTTATATGTAATGATTATATTAACACCTACTAAAAAAAGGGCTAAGTGAACATGTTTTGAATAAGCGTTGATAGAAATAAGATAGAGAGCTGCTGTTTTCATCGTTCGAAAGAAGAAATCAAGACATCGAATGGTATATTGTAAGTTTTTCTACCGCGTTGACTGTGATGCATTTAATCGATTTTACAAGTGTAGAAAAAAGTTTGTTTTTGTCAAAAAAGAAGCAGTAAAATAAGTTTTTTTCACAGAAATTGATACAGAAATCACTTGAAGGTTCGACTAAAATACCAATAACTCTTAAAAAATGACTTATAAATATCTGAGTCTTGTGCAGTTTTGTAGGTCTTCCATTGGCTATTTGAATTCCCATCTGACAGTTCAAAGTTCAATGTAAATAGTTCGGAAGGTAGGTTTGTTTTCAAAGAGTTCGATTTGAAACCTTTCATAAATCATGTCAAAATACTTATAATGCACGATTCTGTGCATTTTTATTAGGCGTATCACTTTATTTTTTATCTTTCTTATATAATAAAGGATAAATATAAATAAATAGCGAAGAATTTTTTTCTGTAAGAACCTAATTTTTAATTTTTACAAAGTAGCTCACAATAATTTATCATACCATCGATAGAAATGAAATATAGCGAAAAAGCTTTTGCATATATTTTTTCATGTATCAGCTTGAACTTTTAATGATATTGGTGATAGAAAAGAATATTCATTAGCATACCCTACTGTTATACTAGCTATTCGTCTATTTACCTATCATAGAAAAAACTCTCTCTTTATTCTTCATTTTATCTTTATTTTTTAAATATGAAGATTGTATTTATATCTATGTTACATAGCAAAGGCAAAGTAACACTCTTAATCACCAGAGATGAAAAAATTCGAGTAAAATTACAATAAATTGAGAATGACAGCGCATGCTGACGAATCCTTCGTGGTATCTACTAGTCCCATTGCAGTTTACTTACGGATAAAATGATAGCTTGATTAGAGAGCCACACTTGAGGATCTTTCCTCGTAAGTAAGAATCACTCAGCGAACTGAAGCACGTCCTAAAATCGAGGATCCTCTTATATTAGAAGCCCCAGAGCTTCTTAGGTGCCCGAACAGTTTCAATTTTTCGAGCAAGACTTCGCAATTGATATTAAACTAGTCATGGTCAAGCACGTCTGTGTATAAAAAATATTTTTCCAATCGCCACAAAACATTTCATTTTTCGATACTGTCTGAGATCATGACCATTATGTACTTTGTAAACGAAACGTTGCCTGGAAACAGCTATTTGAACATCATGGTAAATTACCGAAGTTGTGTTTTTTCTGCTGTTGATACTATGATATACTGTATGTATGTCTTCTCATCGGTAGCAATTACGACCAAGTCGTATTAGTAGCATCTCTAATAATAGAAGCCCCGAAGGCTTCTATGGCAATGAAGGGTTTTATTGTGAGTTCGATTATTAATGGACTATTTTCCATAGAATCTCATTCTCTGCACGAAACCGCCCATCGATACACAGATCACTAATTAAATCATCAAGTAGTGATTTTATCGGTTGAGCTACTATCGCCTTATTATAGTTCATCAGTAACAATCCGAAGTCGATGTCTATCTGAAGTCTGATTCAAGTTTTGTGGCGAATTAATTCTTTCATCCGATATTAAACTAGTTAAATTTCTGATCCAAGAATCGCCAAGGACACATAAAATTGATATGTTTTCTTTTATTAATTAATAATAGAAACAATTTAACATTTTAGATTTTGAAACTAAAAAATACATTTTTTTCTTTGAGAATTTCTTGATAAAACATGTAAACATGACCAAAGAAAATCAAAGAGAAGTTCGACTTGGTGAAGTTAATTTGATGATGATTGATTTTCGAGAAATTTTCTTATTTCGATTCATTTAAAATAAGAATACTTCGAACATTTATTTTCTGGTAATGATGAATTTGTTTTCTAAATAATTTTTTTATTTTATCAAATTAATATAGAAATTATTTTTAAAAGAATTATTGTTGAAGATAAAATAAAATAAAATAAAATAATAAACATAATTTATTTAAATTGTTAAACGAGACAAGTTCAACTATTGATAAGATAAAATGTATTTTTCTATTTATTTCTCATTGTTTATTAATATTAATTTAAAAATGAATATTTTAAGATAAATCCAATCGATTCCTCAGTGCACAGATCTATATCTACAGTATATTTGCATTGAAATATGATCATAACCTTTTATTTAATATTGTTAATAGACTTTTGAAAGATAGATTCATATAAATTAATATCAAACAAACTTCAATCAATAACAAATAATGAATGAGGAAAGATCGGATTCGCATCTGATTGTTATGTGTACTGCAAAAAATGAGTCGATTTATATATGTTTTGAATAATTCTGAGAAAAGAATTTTTTGAAAAAAACCCGGTAACCGCCCCTCAGGAATGGTTTGGTCAATAATGACAATTTTTTCGATAACTCAGCCATTTCTTGACAGAACCTTCTCATCTTCGAACTCGAATGAGATATTGATGAGACCATTCTGTGTACAAAATTTCGAGACAATTGAATGAGGCTTTCAAGAGTTATCGTGTTAACGGCCGGACACACTGACCGAATCTAGTGTACTCAGTTTTTGAGTACACAAAAACCAAACGTAAATTATTTAATAGGGTGAAGAAAAACAATAAACGAACAATAATAAAATTGTTAAATATTGATTTAAAAAAATTGATTATATAATTTCTAATTTTATCCTTGTGATTAATCATTTCATGATTATATATAAGATGACGATTTGAAAAGAGAACGTCCGTATATATAGAAAAAGTGCTTTCATTTATTTTTTTATAAAAAGAAAAAATAATTTCTTTATCAATTTAATTGCTTTTTCACAACAATAATATATATATATATATATTAATTTTCTTCTATTAATATATATGTTTAATATCATTTTTACGAATAATATATTAGAAATAAAAAACCAAAAAATTCTGCCTTCTCTTTTATTTTTCAATTAATAAAAATCTAATGCGTTTTGTTTTTGAAATTCATTTGATGTTGTTCGTTAACTAAGTTGAATTTGAGTCGAAAAAAACTTATTCTTTGATCGATAATAAATATTATTTTGAAATAAATAAATACAAAAAAAAACAATATTTTTATTTTTAGGAATTAATTGAGAAAATTTAATAAATAGAAATTGACACATCTAAAAGCTGAATAGAAAATTCATTTGACGATGGAGATCAGAAGAAGAAAAAAAAATGTTTTGTTTTGCACCTAAATTTTTTAATTTAAGAAAAGAAAAAATCTTTGCTGATGTAAATTGTTTTTGTGAAGATAAATTAAAAATGGAAAATAAAATCGATGACTGCATCATTACACATGAAATGTTAAAGAATTCAACGAATTAAATTATTTTATAAATAATTTGGTCTACAGATGCAACATATAATTTGACATTTTTGATAAAAATTAGCACAAAAACTTGAATTTTCATTTGATGCTATTGAAGATCTTGCAGAAAACTTTTTATTAAATTCATCAATTCTCAAACGATTTGTATTCAATCGATTTGAATCAATTAATGTTCCCGATGTAGTTACACCTTTGTTTAATGTATCATCTAATTAAATATTTTATTTTTATTTTTCTAATATTATTAATTTAAAATCTAAACTAACCTAATTCATGCCAATCAGGTATTTGACTATAATAACGTTGATTCAATACATATGCATGCTCTTCTAAAGTAGATATATCTCTAAAACATAGAAATTATTTAATTAGTTAATTAATTGATAAAATAAATAAGCCAGACTTTTTTATTTGTATTAAATCTTGAAAAATTTTCATATCTTGATTATTTTCAGGTTTTTGATCAATATTTGATATTGAAAATGATTGGATATTAATATTATCTAAAGTAGCTGAACCGATGGCAGCTGATAATGTTAATGAAGAAAATAAATATTCAGCTTTGGCAAGTTCATTACGAAAATATTCAATACAATAGACAAGATTTTGAGGATAATTAGATGATAATGTTGATGAACTTCCTTTTGATATTATTGATCCTCTAATTTAATAAATTTGTTTTATTCAAGTACTTGAATAAATCAATAATAACAATACCTTTTTCCTGTTTCATTAGCTAATTTATAAATAAAATCAGTTACTTTATTAAATAATTGTTCTTTTAATTTAAAAAAATCATCGCGAATCATTTCAACAGAATTCATTGTTTCTAATAAACCTTTTAAACGTGAAAGATTATCTTGAATTTCTCCAAATATCTAATAAACAAGAGAAAAATTGGTTTAGTTGTTTTTAAGAGTAAAAATTGAAAAAAAAACCTTTTGAAGATCATGTTTGGTCACTTCATGTATATCATGAACAGACGTTTTTCTTAATGGTTGGTGAGTCGATACTTTAACATTAGATGAATGGATTTGAGAAGTTATTTCATAATTGTTTGTTGTTGTTGTTGTCGTTATTTGTAAATTATATGTTTTTTGAATAAGTTCTAATGATTTATCGATATTTACACCAGCAGATGACATAACAAATTTTAGACATTTAATTAAAAACAACAATTTTTTAGTATTTTCATTTAAAATTTAAACCATGGAAGAATTCCCATGAGACCAATTTATGATATAGTTCATCTCTCGAATATAGATAGTAATCGTTAATCATCAACATTTTTTTTTCTCTCTCTAGTTTTTCTTGTCTTTAGTTTCCTTTTGACGATGAAAAGAAGAGAAAAACTAGGATGGAACATCTCAGTCTTTTACTCAACCAATCCTTTTTAATAAAATGCTCGAAATAGAAAAAAAAACGAGAAAGAGAGAAAAGAATTTTCTCAATTTTCACTATGTGCTTTTTTTTCTTCCGTTACCATCCTGTTTGCCATTTTTGTGTCATGGCTAATGACAATGAAATCTAAAAAGAAATTACTTTTTTCTTTTTCTCTGTAAATAAGAAGAAAAGTAATCTTTTTATTTATTAAATCATTGAAATGAACGTTTGAACTAGTTCAGTTCTATCGCGAATCAAGATATTTTCTTAAATTAATAACCAACTAAATAATCTTCAATGGCGATTGTCTGTAGTGTCAATGAAGTATAGGCAAAAGAAGAGAAGAAAAAGAAAAATAAAAGAAAAATTTACAGTTACTTTCTTCTAGCTGTCGGATGCTCGTCGGATTTTATTCGAGAATTTCTATTCTATTATAATTATTGTTTTTAACAAGATTATTATTATTTTATTCTTCTTAGTCAATTAAATTTCTTGGTTTTCTTTTAATTATCAAAATAAATATTCACTTTTTATCAATCGAAAAAAAATATAATATTAAGTAAGAAATAAAAATTAGGAAATTTAAAAAAGGAAACAACAGAAAATGCTTTGATCTTATTAGATCCATATGTAAAGTGAAAGCCTCATATTTATCAAAAAATTAACTATTATAAGAATATATTTTATTTTAATTAATTATTTTAATTTTGTTAAGAATTTACATTTTTTTACTTCTTTAAATATTTTGCCAAGTTATGATACAAGACTTGCTATAACACAAAGGAAATATTCATCTTTTTCTCATTCTGTAAGCATTAACCTTATCTTTCAAAATTTTCATTGAAAAACTAAGAATAAAACCTTGAAAAAGTAAAAACAAAATGTCCTAATTTGAAGTAATTTTCTTATCAAGGTAAAACAAGCTAAAATGTTTTATTTTTAATTAACTAATAAAGAAGCTGTAAATATGTCTAATCGGAAGTTTATTTTTCATAATTATATCTATTTATTTATTCGCATCTAGAAATTGTAGCATGCTAAATAAAATTTCAAAATTGACTTATGAAAATTCTTAATTGAATAGATTTTTTCACGTATTATTTTGAGTTTTAATTGGTTAGAGTAATACATGCAATGCAATCTTTTAGATAAGCTTATGAGAAATTTTTTCTAGCAATCTAAAAGAAATAGATCATCTCACATTTGTTTATACTTAAAATACACAATCCTCAAATAAATTGAAAAAACAATAGTTCGTTCGTATAAAATTCTTCAATCACATACCACTAGATTTTAATAATTAAGGAATGAACATTGAAAAAGAGGTTAATCGCTGAAGAACTTTTCTATTTTCTATTTTTTTCTTCTACATTTAACTATTGGTTAAAATTGTTTGTTCATTTCACTGAATCAAAATTGTATTCACCCACCTATAAAGACATGTGTATGAAGCTGGCTTGATTAAAAATACCCACACGCACACTCTCGTACATAGATGACATAGCTATTAGGCGTGAGTAAGTTCAACTCTAATCAAGATTGAAATCGGCCCGTTGTCTATGCCCCTATAATGGTCATCTGCATCATTGTTTTCATTGAATATATTGTTTTTTCTGATGGGAAGGATTACAATGCTGACAATTCGGTCCAAAAGATGCTGCTTTTTATGGCAGATTTTTACAAAACTTGCCAAAACAAATTATTAGCACAATGCTATAAGATCCGAAAACAAATTCAATTTAGCAGCAGCGATAAAAAAAAGTGTTCTCGAATAAATTCGATCATGTGTGAGAATATGAAAAAACTTTGAATCTATGCTCGAAAATGCATAGTCTGGAGGAAAAGAAAAAGAACTTCAAATTTTTGGTTCCACCACTGTCTTCCTCGTGTTGTCATTTCATTTATTTTAAAGATGAATTCCAGTACCCAAACTGTATACAGTAGTAAGAGACAGTACTTGAATATACGTAGTCAGCACAATTAACAGAAAAAAGTATTTGAGTCAAAAGACTAAGATATTCTTCAATGAGAGATAGCCGTAATCATTGTTTGCTTGCTTACTTTCTGAGAAAAATAAAATTCTGCCATCTCTAATTCAATTCTATTTTACTGTTTTTTCAAATTATACTCATGTCTCTTTTTTTTTAATTTGCATCTATTTCTACCTTGGCGTTTTTATATCATACGCTTTATGAATGTACTTTTTCTGCACGTACTGATGTTGCTGACTATTTTTCATTTACACCGAGGTCGAATACGTACGATGGGAAACTGTCTGATCCGATGATTTTCTATCGAATTCCGGAAGCAGTATTCCGAAAAGTTTTCCGGTCTCCGTTTCCAGGGTATTTTCCGCTAACTCCTGGTTCCGGAAGCGATAAGCGGATACGGTTTCCATTTACAGCAGGTTTCCGGAGTACTTTTCCGATCGTTTCCTCTTGATGATCAGAAACGAAAAAATATGAATAGTGTCCAATCTCGATACGTAGCTAGGATCTGACCGTTTTCAATCAGAGTATGGAATCCGAATTACGTCGTTCGACCAAGACCAATCGGATCCGGCACATAAGAACTACTCGATGCTTCCCTTTTCTAATTGAAAAAAATGTGAATGTCAAGGATAAGTAAATATTTCTTGTTGGAAGTACGAAATCTGCAGAATTACTGCTTAGAGTTGGATCGAAATTAACTTTCCAAGAAGCATCACAGAAAGTCGAGTAAACAACATTTTTAGATTGAAATCAACAGATTAATGAATTAAACTGGATTTTATTGTTGATTCTGCCACATAAAATCTTTACAATATATTGCTAATCTAACTAATTTTGCATGAGATACCGAGTTCGAATTCGAATATTAATGAACACCCAAGTGCATGGTATCAATTCGAAAATAAGTGATAGAAATAGATTTAGTTTTAGATTTAATTTAAGATGGAGTGAGTGTGGGTTGAGGGGGGCTAAGGGGTAACTTTGGGCGGCGGTGCGAATGAGAAGGCGCGTAGGATGGGTACCCTGAATGGGTGCGGGGGTGGGGAGGATACTTTAAATGTGGATGATGGATACCATGTAGGATTGCTCAAATGTAGGTGCGGGTGAGTGATATATATGTAATCATATGTCGCATATATCGGAAAGTTAAACTAAAACTAAATCTATTCCTAGATTTATCTAATAGTTTTCCTTTTTCTTTTCTCCATTTATATTCGAACTCGAATTAAACAGCTAGTCATAAGAAGAGAGTCAAGAACAAATGTGCTGTAACCTAATGACGTATTCAGATAAATCCTATAGAACTTTCAGCGGTCATAAAATCGACTGCATAAAGCTCATTTAGAAGTTTATTTGAAGGAGCCTTCGCCAATCCTCAAATATTTCTTGGTAAGCTGATATCGTTAGTTCTCAGGTCGAGAAGTATGGGCCGGTTCCCGCAGAAAAACACCTTCAAGATGGAAGCGGATTTCTGGTGTTTCCCTGCAATATCCGGTGACCGAAACGATAATTCTCGGTTCATTTGGTTTGATGTGCAATATTGTTTGACGGTGTCTTTTTGTAGACTAATTTTGGAAAACTGAAACATATTTTCGACCTATTGGCTCAAAGTTTTCTCCATTAAACAGAAAAAATTGGAGAAAACAAAAATAGCTGTTCAATAGCCGATGATCTAAGACAAAGCCGAGAGAATATAGTAGCTATTTATTTTCATTAGAGAAAATTTATTTTAAGAAATGGCAACTATATTATATATTTGATCAATCTAAATCTGCACTTGATCTTTCAATTTTATTCAATGCTTATTGGCAACCTATTCTATGTCTAGCAATCCGATGCGTTTAAGATCAGAAGTTTTACATATTAATCTTATTACGACAAACTCATTTATGAAATAAAATCGATCTTGTTTTTCATGAACATCTTTGAATATTAACTTCTATTCCCTAGACTAATATCCATATATTCGATGACCTTTATAATAATAATAAAAAACGAAATAAGAATTCTAATGTACTAGCATTTACATTTATTGACAATAAATGAATAATAAAAACATAAAAAGATCACTAAAACTGTTATAGTCAAATATGGAATGTACAGGAAAAGAACACAGATAATATTGTAAAAACAAAAAAGAAATGAAAATTGTCACTGTAACATACTAATTAAAAAAATTGAGAATTAATAAAATGAGAAAAAAATAAGTAAAAAAGGACGGCATTATTATTCTTGCAGAAGCATAATAAAATAAAAATTCATCTACAACTTGCCATGGATTTCGACCATCATCATAACGAATTGGACAATCATCATCTTTAGTTGTTTTTTTTTTAAAAGAAAAATAATATAAATATTTATCTAATTACAATACAGTTAACTTACGAATACGCTCAGCTTCTTCAAGTTCAATTTTGAGATCTGCTCCATCTTGTGCTTCATAACTTTGAGATGTTTGATTAAAACCACAAAATGATCCAGCTGATCTTGAAAGATATATTTTATCATAATCGATTCTTTCATAAACCCAACATTTAAAATTAATATACGGATCATCTCTATCATATGTTATTAAATATGAACGAGAATCTTCTCTCCAATAACCAGCACATTGATAAATATAATCAGGTTGTTCATAAACACCAATGGGTGTTCCATATGGATCTAATTGTCGACAATATTCACGATCAGCAAGCATTGTTTTTGTTTGATCACCACAAATAGTCCATTGAGAAACCATATATTTTGGATCACATGTTATATACCAACCATGATCACGTGGTCGTGGCGTTATTCCACCACGAATTCGTGTTTGAATTAATGAATTTGGTTGTCCAACTTGTTTAAACATCCACATACCCGTAAATGGACATTCAATAGGTGCCGGTGGATCCAAAACAAAAACTTGATATTTCCAATTAGCATCATTACCAAAACTAATCCATGAACAAACTTCATAAAGTGGATCTCTTTTTGATAGATCATCGTAAACATTTGACATGAATGATTTTGATTTTCTATATCGTAATATATTATGATGACGATCTTTAAAATCGAAACAAATATAATAGGAGAAACATTCTCCTTTCGTCACTGTTTTAACTAAAAACTGTTGTCGACTTATTTGCTGACAAACATAATAAGTTTCTCTTAGCCAACCACGATTGTTAACTTGTGATATTTCATGTATATGTGTTGCATTAATAATTGTTCTTGCATTAACATTAGCTGTATTAACCCATTCGCCAGTAAAATTATCTGGAAAAAAACAGGTTGGTGTTGGAACTTCTGGAATAATTGGCGTTATAATAACTTTTTCTGGACCATCAGTTGGTGAATAAAGTCGTGCACATTCAGCAAATAAAGATTTCGCGAACCATTGTGGTTGATCCTGCCGTGTTAACATACAACGAAATTTATCATACCAACGTTCCGAACCAACACGTTCATTGGCAATAGCAGTAAAAATATCTCCTTTTTCATTAATCCAATATCCCAAACATTGATAAAGTGGTTGAGCATCGATTGATGAAACAAGATCACGACAATAGCCATATGTCATCCAAAAACGTTCATTAACAGCTTCAAATGGAGTACCAGGATCAGGACAAGATACTAAACGTGATATTGGATTATCACAAATACCAATACCACCTTGACGAAATTCATATGTAAAATGATATGTTCCATAAATTGTTGCACGACATTCTTCAGCTGAATAAGTTTTAGCTAAGCAATAAAAGGAAGAAATAGATAAAATAAGCTAAACGAAATAATTAACTGACAAAATAGAGTATCAAAATCAGCCTCTTGATTAATACTGGAACAGAGATCTTGAAAATTCATTTGATTTGTTGAAATAGATGTTATTTCATTGCATTCGCTATTTCGAAATTGAAGAATATTTCTTGTTCGATTATGTATTTGATAACATTGATAACATGATTTTTCTCTTTTAAAAATGAAAAAAAAAACCGTTTTGTTTCCATATTAAAAATAAAAGAAGGAACTTACTTATCTCGATAGATAAGTTCAAAATGATTTTTTGAAATATGATCAAAAGGATTTTCTCTCCATATAAGACGAAAGCATTCTCCGAGTGCATGATTATCAAGAACTGTTATTATATTAGCAGTAGCACCACGACCTGATTCACGACGATAAAAAAGTCGATCAATATCGCCATTTTCTTTAAATGATGTATGACTTTCAAGACCATTTTCATATGAATAGTATTCTCCCATTATTGGACGATCAAATGTACATCCTATTTGACTCTTTACTATTTTTAAAATGACAGAAAAAGAAAAGAAAAAATAGTAATCTAGTATAGAATGAATCAAATTAATGAAAAACCTGTTTTGTTTATTAAAATGATGAAGAATAATATGAACGCTTCTAGGATTAACATAATTATTATCTAAAACAAGTTAATTGGTAAATCAATATTCTTATTTATCTAGAATAAAAAAGAATTGATCTTCTTTTTCTATTATTATTATTATGAAATAGTCCAATCGACGATTTCATCTACGTATTCAATTATTAATTGAAAAACAAATGTAAAAAAAAGCAACAGCAACAATTATCTGACAGAGATTATCGAAACATAATGTACAACAAGAACATTATCTGACAACGGAATGATTAAGAATTATCTGAATTCTATAAAAAAAAAGGAAAAGATTAATTAAACAATATGAATAATAGAAAAAAGAAAAAAGAAAGAAAAAATTTGTTGAGCTGAACAATTGAAGATTTTGCATAATAAAAATTAAATTCTTCTAAATCAACAAAAACATTACGACCATCATCATAACGAATTGGACAATCATCATCTATGTGAAAATTTTCATTAGGTGTTTCTATTAAAATAGAATAAATAAATAAATAACTTACGAATACGCTCAGCTTCAGCAAGTGTAATAGCAAGATCAACTCCATCTTGCGCTTCATAACTTTGAGATGTTTGATTATAACCACAAAATGATCCAGCCGATCTTGACAAATGAATTTTATCATAATCTATTCTTTCATAGACCCAACATTTAAAATTATTATAAGGATCATCTCGATCATATGTAACCATCATTGAACGAGAATCTTCTCTCCAATAACCAGCACATTTATTTTCATAGAATTACTAACTTCTTCTGGAATAATTGGTGTAATAATGACTTTTTCTGGTCCATCAGTTGGACTTGACAACGAAGAACATTCAGCAAATAGAGATTTAGCAAACTTCAGCTGAGTAACTTTTCGCTAAACATTTTAATTTTCATAGATTTGTTTTTCTTAATATTTTAAGTAAAACTTACAGAAAAGTGTAATAAATTCACTTTGTTCATCAATAGATCGTCGAAATTCATTTGATTTGTCGATAAAGATGTCGTTTCTCCACATGAACCTTGCAGAAATAAATACATAAAAATTTATTGTCAAATATTAAAATACTTTTTCTAATTTGAATCACATTTTTTGTTCGATTAAACATTTGATAACATTGAAAACAAGATTTATCTCTTTGAAAAAGAAGAGTTTTTGTTTATGTTATAAAATAAAAACAAGAAAATAGTATACTCGTCGCGATAAATAAGTTCATAATAGTTTTGTCTCACAGTTAATTGCTAACAATGTCCAAGATCTTGAGTAACTAAAAGATCTCCACCATCTTTTCGTGTTGCGCCAGCACCTGATTCTCGACGATAAGAACGTCTATCCACAGTTCCATTTTCTTTCAATGATGTATGAGTTTCAAGGCCATTTTCATATGAATAAAATTCACCTAATAGTGGCCGATCAAATGTGCATCCACCTATTCTAACTATTAGAGAACTTTTGTTTCTACATTAAATCTCATTATCCATCCTGTACACTAGTTATCGGTATAAAAACAAACCAACAACATCAAGATTGTTCTTTAAAAAGCAAGAAGGAAACGACAATAAATGAGTTCAATCAATGATTCAGCCATTTTTTTTCGAATTCTCTCGATAAATGAAACTCTACAGGTAAATGTCATTCGACGATAGATGGCATTCAGTTTAAGAATACAATTTTGTTCTCTTGGTTTCTTTGCGACACCACCTTGTCACATTGTGAGTGTCTCGGTTCCGCTCTTTCCAATAGAATAGTGAAATAATCACCAAGGAAATATCCATAAGATGCTTTACTTTAAATAAAGACGTTGGTTCATTTTATTTTTATGTAGACCTTTCAAAAGATTTCTCAAAAGGTATTAAACTCAAAAGATTCTTTTATTCCATTTAATTTTTCTAAGTTTCACAAACAATTGCAGTGTAGTGCACTAATGTTTGATAAATTCCTCATTTGGACGCATTTCGATTACAGGTATATAGTGAATTTTGTGGCATTGAATATTAATAATATGATGATTTGACAAAGGAACGTATTAAATTAAGCGATGAAGTTAATTCCTATGTGGGATAGGTTCTCAGTCATGTGAAGCATTTAAACTGCGATTATCGTGATCGAACTTATATAGATTACTTAATGAGCGTGTGGACTGATGCAGTTCTCATTGACTGCTCTATTAATCGACAGCCACAACCATCCATACGTACACTCACCATAATATTCCAATGAATTTTCTGAAATCGAAAGAAAACAATTTGTCAAAAATGTTTAATTTCTATAATATTGTGATTTGAAAAAATCTTTCAAAGAACATCTATGTTCTGCTCATCTCTCGATAAAAAAATCATAAAGTAAAATATACATAAATTTCTGGAAAATATTCTTTATTGAAACAAAATTTTTTAACAAAAGCAATACTATTTACAGTAAAGGAAAATAATGATGAAAACTTTCTGGGCGAACAAATGACCCTTCTATATGAATATTTTGCAAGTTAACACAGTTAAGACGTGCTGCATCATTGGTGAAATTATTTGTTACGATTGCAAGTGTTTCATATTCAATAGTGAGTTCGAGTAAACGAGGCAAACGAGTGTTTTTCTCGAAGAGAAATTGTTCAGCATAATCTACATGTACTGCACTAAGAATGAGTTTCACAAGATGAGAAAATACAATTAATGTAGATGAATGTTGCTTATTTTTTTGTGCTTGAAAATTGTATACATATAATTTTTCAAGATAAGGAAAAGCTTGAGACACAAGTGCGAATAATTCATGTTCGAATGAACTCGTATCATTCATAAATAAGCATCGAACTTTATTGAATATGCCGCCTGTAAAAAAGTTATTCAGATTAATAAAAATTTCGAATCGATATGGAAGAGAAAAGACATGACATCGACCAACATTTGTTGTTGAATTAAAATCAGCATACGAACCAACTTGATTATATCCTCTTTCGATAAAACTTGATTGAATATTGTCGTTTGATGGCAAATCAATTTTAATATTTTTGTTAACAGTTTGACTGACTATGCTAAAAGTAAATTTGTTTAACCGTGGCATATGAATGAGAATTTCATCATATAAATGAACACCATCAACATAATTTGAATCAACCCTTAAAATTGAAAGTAATAATGTTAATTCTTCAAGATTTGTCATTCGATGAAGTAGTGGAATAATTTGTTTTTCATAAAATATTGCCCAGGTCGATCAACCTGAGCCGTAAACGGCCGTATACCTATCATTCACGGTGAAAAACGGCAACCGTATTCTGTAGTCGTTTACTGTTGCCGTAAACG